AAATTGCTGATTGTTCAAAGGCGCCAAGGGACCTAAGCTGGCTCGTGTCATTTCGGGAACGTACATGACGAGTCTCAACGGCCCCGGCTTCAGCATCACCCTGCTCAAGGCCACCCCTGACATCCTGAAGTACATCGATGCCAGCACCGACGCAATCGGCTGGGCATACTCCCCGCGCAATGAGACGGCCAGCGACCCGAAGCAGCGGATCACCGAAAGCGCTGATGCCAGCCACGGAGCAGACGGCGCAAAGAGTGGAGTTGAGTGTATGTTGAAACACCCACCTTCGCTCCCCATTCCCCAACTGACAATCTTGATATAGTGAACGTCGACGTCTTCAAGAAGGTCGTCGCCGAAGCAAGCAAGCGCATCGAACAAGCCGAGCCCCAGATCACCGACCACGACACCAAAGTCGGCGACGGCGACTGCGGCGTCACCCTCCTGCGCGGCGCCAAGGCCGTCTCCAAGTATGCCGGCTCCGCCGACCTCACCGCCGACGCCGTCCGCACGGCCATCGACTTGACGAACGTGATCGAGGACAACATGGACGGCACCTCGGGCGCCATCTACAGCATCTTCTTCGCGGCGCTGTCCTCGGAGCTGCGCAAGGCGACCGCCGGCGTGCTCAACACGAAGGCGTGGACGAAGGTGGCTGTCGGCGCGTTGGGGACGCTGCAGCAGGCGACGCCGGCTAGGCAGGGTGATCGGACGCTGCTGGATGCGTTGGAGCCGTTTGTTAAGACGCTGGAGAGGACGGGGAGTGTGAGCGAGGCTGTGAAGGAGGCGAGGAAGGGGGTGGAGGCTACGAAGGGGATGGCGGCGAGTTTGGGCAGGGCGGTGTATGTAGAGGAGTCTGCGTGGGGGAAGGTTCCTGACCCGGGAGCTGAGGGTGTGTTGGCTATCTTGGAGGGACTTGAGGCGGCGACGTCTTAGCTGGGGTCACGATCATGTTGAATATGTTGGCGGAGCCAGAGTTGTAAATATTTGAAGGTACAAGCTAATGCGTTTGATGATGATTGTAACACGTCTTGATTGATAAGACTGGGTCTTTCCAAGGATCATATATCCAGCAAATATCGATTGCACCTGGACAAGACCATGTCTCGCCTGATATCAAAGTACATATTTCGCCATCTATGCAATAACCAGATCTTCTCCGACGACAAGGGGGATATTTAGAATCTTAGTGAGTCGTCATTTAGCAATGCTTCCAAGCCCCCAAAGCCAGACGTGACCTGCACAGGAAAGTTTAGTCAAAGGTTCGCAGTCACATACATCGAGCAAAATCTTACCATGGAATCGAATTGACCCCAGCTGGTCATGTCAGCTAGCGAGCTACTTGGGCTAGCATCGAACCCCACAAAGTCCTCGGTGTGAGCGACGTCCGAGAAGTTGATTCCTGCTAGGTGATCAGGCTGTTGGTTGTGGACATCTTCTGCCGGACGAGCTGCCAAAGACCCGCCACCATCCTGGTTATTATGGACTGGAGGGCTGTGGAGGCGCTCCGTTTGCCTCAGAGCCTCCGTTCGCAGCTCCTCCAGCACCAGACAGTACCGCGCGGCCAGCTGAGACTCGTTGTCAGCCAGCGTGGCGAGCTGCGTCTGGCACCGCGTCGCGGCGGCGAAGTATGATTGCCAGGTCTCTGCGGGCGCCGTCCGCTGCTGTATTGTATAGACGTAGAGAACGACGACGGCGGAGAACGCGAAGTAAGATGTGAACTATATTTGGTGTTATTAGACGTCTGCAACATGACATAGAGAGATGTCTTACCCAGAATGCACGGAAGAGCTGGCCTGCCTGGATCAGGTCGTTCACTGTGTCTACCACGTGCATGGCCGCATCTAAGCACGCCTGGACGCTGTCGCCGGCTTGGTCCTTGTGCGGCACGCTGCGGCGACGGCTCTTGCCGTTCCGTTGTAACCTCGCAAAGTTGCTGAGGAGGAACGGCCGATGAGTTAGTATCATGGCGTGCCAGTAGGCTAGATTCAATACGTTTCTCTGTCGTTGGAATATTGGTATGAGAAGGGCCATGTTGATGCCGTCATCCAGGAACTGCGACAGCTCGGCGCGCCATTGCTTCAGGTTCTGAGAGTACTTTGCTGCCAAGGCGCAGCGGTTGGAGAATGAGGAGGGGCGGATGGAGTACAGATCTCGTAAGATCATGCTCACTATTCGTGAAAGCCTACATCGAGTCAGTGTCTGATGCAGCACAGCGGGACGGTCCGCACTTACTTGACGTGAGCCACGGGCGCCAGCATAAGCGACTGCCCGCGTCCCATGCGGGGTGTGATGTGGTCCGCATGCAGATCGCCGTCTTCCGAGCACGACGGGAGTTCCTGGTCGATGTCTTCATCGTGGAACGTCCGCGGCCGGCCCAGCGCGGCGCTGAGGTAGTTGTCGAGGCTGTACGCGCACCAGAACGTGCGCCGTCGACACTCGAGCTCGATGTAGTTGTAAGCCCCCGCCGGGTCGGCGTGGCGGTTCCTGTTGAGGCCGATGGCGAGGGCCAGGTGCCCGACGGTGCCGAAGAGACTCCAGCAGTGGTTGATGCGGGACTGTGATAGTAGCCAGAAGCACTGGCATAAGCGAGCCTGTACGCTGGCTAGGCGAACGGCACCGCGCTCTTTGGAGAGCTGGTGATCTGCAGCCAAGAAATATCGAGCGCTGGGTCGGGTGTGTTAGACAAGGGGTTTTGGTTTGTGACAAACATGAGTGACGGGTGCGACGACGGATATGGTGTATGGTTACCCAAGCAGAGGGCAGTAAAAGCAAACATGAAACTTACCTGACGTCCGCGTTTTCACGGGTCTGAGTGGTGACCATGTACTCCTGGGCCTGAGCAAACACCATAAATAGAACAGCTCTCCGCGCGGGAGCGTCCTCCTGGCTCTTCATCGCGCCGTTGGTGGCATAGAACTCTTCAAGCCAGCCTTCGACGGTGGGGCGATGGAGGAAGCGGTGCGTTGGCACGGCAAAGTCAAAATATCTCTTGAGCAGCGTTGTCGCCTCATCCTTGGACAGCAGGACGCAGAAGGCGCCGCTGGGGTCAAAGTCAGGCAGAGGGGCATCGCCAAAAGTGAAAATGGAGGAAGCTTGTGAGAAGGAGACGGCCTGGTGTAACCTCTTCTGAACCCTCAGTAAGAAAGACACACCGGATGAGGGGCCGACGTAGTGGCCCTGGAGGTCTGTCTGCGTAGGTTCAGGAGACGCCCGCGAAGGAGGCTCGGCAGTCCCCGGGCCGACGCTGCCAATGACAAGATTCGATCCGTTCATGATGCTTTCCTCTTGGTGGTGGTCATGCTCATGGTCAACATCAGGCTCTCCGACGTCGACGACGATGGATGCCATCAGGGCATCTTCGCCAGCCGCACCAGATGAGCCGGAGACGGCACCACCAGCACCAGCGGAATTGCTGCTGTTCGAGCTGTTTCCATGCGTTCCCGCAGGCGGCGGTACGGAGACGTCGAGGCCGTCGAGGTCCATTCGGGCGACATCTTCCCGAGTTGCCACGGGCGGCTGGCGCCCGCGTGCATAAGACGCGTTGTAGGTGCAGTGGGACTCGGTGCGGATGCATAACTCGCACGGCTGGATTCCCGTGCAGCGGATCTTGCGCTTCTTGCACCTGTCGCAGGCCCGGGTGACGCGGACGCGTTCCTTGTCGCGGTGGCGCCGACGTCTGCCGCTGTCTGGCAGAGGCGTCGTGTTGGACGGGTGTGTCAGGGGCGGAGAAGCCAGTTGCTGGGTGTTCCCGTTGGCGTTGGTATTAGTGGTGTTGATGCTTGATCCGTTGATGGTTCCGTTGCCGTTGATGGAGCTTGTGCTGTGGTGTCGTTGGCCGTGGCCGTGGCCGTGGTTATCCAGGACATGCTGGTGATGGTGTGAGTGGGAATGGCGGCGGTTCCCGCCATTCATGGTGCTGCTGCTGCTTGCGGCAACGTTGATGCTGCTGGCATTGCCGATGTTGCCTGTGCTCCCGATGCCGATGCCGACACCGGAGCCTTCGTCAGAGTCCAGGTCCATTGCCGGAACCTCAGCCTAGCTCTGCTCTTCTCCGTCAAGGCCCAGAGGGCGGAGAGGCGGGCAGACGGACGGACGGCGGAGCGCGGATGCGGGTGCGGTTGTGCAGTGCCCGGTTCAGCCCCCAGCAACGCAAACTAACAGCGAGCAATTTGGCGCGGCGGCGGCGGCGGCAGACTCCCCTGATCCTGCTGCTGCTGGAGACACGGAAACATGGCCCTCGAGCGCACGCAGACTCAGAGTGGGAGATGGGTGTAAGGGGGAAAGAGAGGGACCCAGGGCGGGAACGTGGAGGAACGGAAATGTCACCTCATTCTTAATCCTTTTGGGAATGGGGAGACAATGCGGGGTACCCGGCCGCCCCCATTTCTTAGTCTCCCCCGGTTGGGACGGGCATCCTTGCGGGACATGGCTATGCTCTTGCGGGGAGATGCCCCGGGCGCCCGAGTCGAATGATTATGTTTGGTTTTCAAAGAATGGTGGTATTGGCACGAAGAGCAGACTGAATTGGAGGGAGGGGCATATGCGAAGAGTCAAGGGTTTTGTCTGTGTCTGTACAGTGAAGTGTGTTGGGGACATGGGGAAGAGGAAGAACACGAGATCCCGGAGATGAGCTTGTGTTTGGGTGTAATAGGGCCACAGGGATGAAGGTCGCCGTCTTCAGCCTCAGAAACGTGGGAGCAAAGGAAGATTGTTCTAGAGCTGCTTCCGGCGAGTAAGTCATTTCAGAACAACCAGGGATCTGCAATCGCACGCACCAACATGAACCAAGTGAGTCTGGGGTAGCTAGCCTACGGGGTTATATATATCCAGACGCGCGAGGAGGTGGCGTGTTTAATCAGGTTTTTGTCTATTTCTGTTGGCGGTAGTTTGACGAGGTCATCATTAAGAAGGCGTGTTAGTTGCTGGGTTTGTTCTACTATCAAGATGCTCATCAAACTCTGAATTCATGACAACGTTTCTGATAATAGTAATCAATCCCATTAAAAGATCGCCACTGCGTTGGGAGGACTAGCAACGCCTCCAGGCACCTAACGGTCGCGAGTTAATGACAAATTCATCTTCACCTCGTTTAATCAAGTAAGCCAGGGTCGCAAAACTCACCTTCAATGGCACGCTGCTCACGAAGAACGTCCACCTCCCGAGCTCCTCGCACTTGACACTCAACGCCTCGAGATCAAACATCTCCCCAATCGGCAGTCCCCATCCGCCCAGCAGCCACTGATGCAGCAAACCTCCGCTCTGCATCTCCTCCTCCCACGCCTCGTCCTTCCACACCCCTCCCACGGCGGTATGAGGCCCCGCGATGGGTGCCCTCTCGAAGCTCGGCGCGTCGCCCGCCACGGCCGCAAACCCAGTCTCCCAAATCCACCGCAGCACGTCCTTGGTCGGCTCGACGCCGAGGAAGTCGGGGCTCGCGCGCGCAGCGACGGCCTTCTGCGCCGCGTCGTCTTTGGCGTTGTATCCCGCCGTGAAGCCCGAGCGGATGAGCAGGATGTCGCCGGGCTGGAAGGTGACGTTCTGCTCGGCGGCGACCTGCTTCAGGTGCTCGAGGGTGATGTCGCTGCTCGTGAAGGCGTCGAGCGGGAGTGCGTGCCGGGCGCAAAAGCTTGCGTAGTCGAGCAGGACGCCCCGGCCGACGATGCCACCCTTCTCGACCCAGGCTTTTTTGTTTATTAGTTAATGAAACAAATGCAGCGCAGCGCAGAGACCGCAGCGCGACACGACTCACCATCGATGCCGATCTTTTCGGGATTTTCCAGGTCGTCTTGAGTCGTGTTGTTGTAGTACCGCTTGGCTTTCTGGTACCCTTCGTCTGAAGCGTTAGCTGCTTGATCCTTGTTTATGTCCTGCTGCCCTGAAGCATCATCGCTAAATACCGTAGTGCCTGAACCCGTCCCACTGGCTGCTGCACTGCGTGTTGAAGTGCAAGATGTCGTCGTTGACCGTCCTCTTCTCCCCGTTGGGATGCGCCCGGTTGACAAGTTTCGATTCAAACGGCGCCCGATCGAAGCTCGGCTGTGAAGGGTTGGTCAGCGACCAGTCCAGCGACACGCGGTCACCGGTCCGGATCTCTGATGCTGCTGCAGCGGCGACGATGGCTGGGGTCAGAAGGTTCAGCGCCCCTAAGCGATCGTCTTTGCCATAGAGACCCCATGCGTTTCCTGGAGGACCATTGGGGTCCAGGGGCAGAGACGAGAAGGGCGGTCGGGGTGGTAAACTAGAAGACATGATGAGAGAGGTGATTTACGCAAAGTGAAAGCAAACTGTTGGAGATGAGAACGAAGATGAGGTGGACACTGAATATGTGCAAGTCAAGACGCCGAAAATCGCTATCGGGGTGAAATGCGCCGGCGTCGGGGAGCCGGCGCCCACTGCTACGCCCGACTTAAAACCGTTACAGAGCGGATTTGTTTCCTGTCAAAGGCCGGACGGGGCCATCAATCAAGCTCCCGTCTCCTGTCATTTATCTCGTGTTCTTGGAAACAAAACTCAATTTGAGTTGGTTTTCATTAAATGACAGTAGCACAGTTCCTATTTTCACTGCCCTACATGTCAAGTTTCATTCTGTCTGACTTCGTGTTGTCTCAGTAAATGTACCTAAAGTTCATGTTTTCCTGGTCCGTCAAGTCCCCAAACGCAGTCGCGTCCAAGTCCACCTCGGCAACTTCACCCTGCGCCCGATCGCGCCGCTCATTCTCCCACTTTAACAGGAAGCGCAGTGCAATGACGATGACAACTTCAAGCAGATGTGCTACAATCATGCTCCAGATGCCAAGCTCGTACTTGGGCGCCTGGTCGGACTTGTAAAAGAAGGGACCGGCAATGTTCCCTACGCAGTAACCCAAGAAGAGGCATGCTGATGTGACGACCTTTTTGGTGTGTCCCGCAATGTTTGCTGTTTGGAGTGAGAGGAGCAGCACGAATGAAGCGTTGATGGATCCGGTCAACTGGAAAATCAAAATGAGCTTTTTGCCGCGGGAAACTCCACTGGACATGCTGGAGTGATAAGAACTCACGTAGTAGCAGATAAGTCTCCCGACTTGCTGGTCGTCGGGCACGAATCGTAGTCCAAATGCACCCACGACGTTGGGGAGCAAGAACAGGACCAGCATGAAGCATCGATTGTTGGGAGGAAGTCTGTCGTTGATGAACACGCAGACTAGGATGGCAATGAAAATGAGGACGCCGTAGGGGACCTGAAGAACGGCTGTGATGACTATGACAATTTAGCTTTAACACACAATGACATCCAAGGTGACGGATACGCACGCGTAGAAAAGTTGAACCCCTTGATAATCAACGTCCCAAAGTTCGACGTCCCCCCGTTCACGATGGCCTGAAGCAGCGCAATCATAAAGAAGAAGTACAGCTTGAAGTCGGTGAACGCCTCCCGAACCTGGTACAGCTTCAATGTCTTGTTCTCGACACCGGTCTGGTTCTCCCTCAGCCGCTCAATCACAATTTGTTTCTCGCGCTGCGAGAGTGCCTTGCTCGTAATGGGGTTATCCGGGAGGAAGACGGCGATGACAATGCCCCAGGCGCAGCAGAGGGCGCCGACGATGATGAACTCGTACTTCCATGATGCCAGGGCACCCTTGATGTTGCCGATGCCGTAGCCTAGCAGGCCCCCGAGGGCGATACCGATGCCGTTGGCAGTGTACCACAGGCCGATTTTGATGGGTTGTTCGCGCCGGGTGTACCACATGCTTTCACCCTGTTATCCGAGTCCCTCAAGTCGGTGAGATATAGAGGAAGAAACGTACCTGGTGATGATCATGAAGGCCGGGTCAGCGCAGGCCTCCGCTGCACCGCTTATTGCTCTGAGCACAGCCAAGACTGTGAAGTTGGGCGCAACGGCCTGAAGCATGAGAAAGGTGCCCCACGCAAAGATGTTGATACCCAGATACTTCGCGATGGGAAACCTCTGTAGCAAGAAGTTTGTCGGAAGAGCCCATACGAGGAAGCCAAAGTAAAATACCGAGGATAGCCAACTGTACTCTGCACCCTTTAACCCAAGGTCTTTCTGGATGTCAAAAATGGCTGCGTAAGACAAGGTAGTCTTATCAATCTTTTCACAATCGTCAGATTTAGCCGCGGTCACCGGATCGCTTGGCGAGAGGCCAAGCACCGCTTGGCATATAGACTTACGTAGAAGAAGGCGTAGCAGACTGAGATGTAGGGGAGAATCATCCAATCAACTTTGCGGACAAGCTTCCGGTCCTCTTCCGGGTCGATAGGGTCATGGATCCCGCCCACGTTGTCGAAGAGTGCCAAGGCAACATCGCCTCCAATCTTGGAAAGCTTGAACTTTTGGAGGTCTGCTTCCTCTACATTCTCTAGTTGGGCTGCTGAAGGCTTTGTTTCGTGAATTTCCTCGGCATTGGATGTGGTTCGTTGCTGTAGCTGTGGGCTTTCGTCTGGGTTCATGGTGATTGGCATATCTGGTGTCATTGTTTTAAAAAGGCAGTTGATGCTAGAGCCAGTATCATCGAGGTACTGGATAATTGGACACAAGATGGTAACGAAGAGTCACATCTTTAAACGTTTGCTCACAATGGGCGATGTAGCCCAGTCACACATGCTAGAGCATCCTCCCCAGGGAACATGGATAACACGGCAAGAACACTCCGGGGAAAGCACGGGGAAGCGTCTCGATACCCCAAACGCTTCCGGATAGCTTGCCGGATGGACGCATGTTGCAGTTGCTTTGGTCCACATAGCGTCGCACTATCACAAGACACGCAAAGATGATCAGAGTGCTTTTCCGTTGCGCGTTTCCAAAGAGGTCCACATTGTTCATCATATCCAATCATGTATTCATAACCATCCCACTATCTAGCCTTTACACGGGAGATCTACAGGGACTTCTCAATCTTGTCGATATCCGACAACAGCAGCGCATCCAGCGACTTCCACGTCGCCTCAGCCAGACGTCCCTTGAGCGGCAAACGGCCTCCCTCAAGCGCGCCGAAGCCGGCCTTTTGAATGATGCCCTCGCGAATGCCGATGATGCCGGTCTTGCCGATGAAGTCCTCCGCGCGGGACACGGCGTACTGCAGGCGCTGGACCTCCTCGAGGGTGCCCTGCTCGACGGGGCGCTTCTCGGAGAGGGCAAACAAGCGCGAGACGGTCTTGGGGTAGAAGGCGGCGAGGCCGTCGATGACGCCCGCAGCGCCGAAGAGCACGATGGGCGCGAGCTGCTGGCCGAAGCCGCTGTAGACGCGGAACTTGGAGTGGTCGATGCGCGGGTCGGAGGAGACTTGGAGGTGGAGGGAGACGTTGCCGTGGGACCTGGGCGTGTTAGCTTTGTGAAGTGAATGTGAGGCGGTTGTGAGTCTTACATCTTGCAGCCCACGATCTTGGGGTGCTGGGCGAGGTCCTTGTACGTATCGGGCTCGACGAGGACGTTGTTTGTTACTCCGGGGTAGTTGTATCTATTCCAATCAGCTCATACTTCACTTTCAATGAGTGGTGCACTTACACAAGGATGGGCAGCGGGCTCTTGTCCGCAATCAAGTTGTACCACTCCTTGATGTTCTCCTGGTTCGCCGCCGTGCCAAAGTATCCTGGCACCAGGACCAGACCCCATTGCGCGCCAGCCTTGGCGTAGTCCTCCAGCCACTCGAGCGTCTCGTCGACGCCGTTCGTCAGGACACCGGCCATGATGGGGTAGTCGGGGAAGCCGGCCTCCTCGAGGCCCTTCTTGACGCCGGCGACGAGCTCGATGCGCTCCGCCTTGTTCAGGTGGATGGCCTCGCCGGTCGAGCCGAGGAGGACCAGGCCACGGATGCCATTCTTTGCGAGGTAGACGCTGTGCTTGACCTGCGTCTCGACGTCGACCTTGGGCTGGAGAGAGCCTGACGACGCGGAGGCGGGGTGGAAGAAGGTCGGGACAGGGACGAAAACGCCCGTGGGGGGTACTCTGACGTCGGCCATTGTGATGGATGAACTAACTCGGAAAGGAACAGGAATTGAGACGGAAGAATATGAGATGACGGGTATCACTTTTTTTTTGGTTTGCAGAGATTCTTTCCAACAAGAACGTTCAGTTTTGTTGACAGCAACCACCCCTCAATTGTACCACTCACGGTGGGCAATCAAACGTGTCAGAGCACCCCCGGTCTCGGTCCTCTCGGCAATTCCGCGAAGAGCCAGTCTGCGCTCCGGGTCCACCAGGATGGCGTTTCTCGGGGTGTGATGACGCGGGGGTGGAGACGCATGGCGTGAAGCAACAAGGGGGGTAAACTCGCGCGGGGAACAGTCCGACACGCCGCGCCGCGTCGGACGCCATCGGCTACATGAGCGGCAGCGTTGCTCAGAAGCGCCGGAAAAGAGGTTTACCTAATGCTCTTCTCCGTAACACGGATGGGCGGCGCCCCGAAGATGCGGAAATATTGCAGGAGAGGGACAACTGACGACAGCCTCAAACTGGGGATATAAGATGAGCCTGTGAAATTTTGTTCATGGGGCTTTCTGGAGTGTGACATATGATACCTTGAGTGCGGATAACGACCAGAATCATCCGATTTTCATTTCCTCAGACGTACTTCCGTAAACGGCACATTTTTTAGATACCCTGAATCACTCCGCAATAATGGGCTTGCCTTCATCTTTCAAGCTCCTGTCGGGACACGGGATCCCCGCTGTTGGTCTGGGTACTTGGGTAAGAGGCAGCTGTGCAGTCGAGATGGGGGCAATTTCTGATGGCTTTGATGTGTAGCAATCCAAGCCCAATGAGGTCAAGAATGCCGTCGAGCATGCTCTGAAGAATGGCTACCGCCATATTGACGCGGCCGCGGTCTACGACAACGAGAAGGAGGTCGGCGCCGGCCTCAAGGCCTCCGGCGTGCCTAGGAAAGACATCTTCGTAAGCTACTCGTTTGCAAAGCTTATCGCACTCTTGAGTCTGACCCCTGCAGATCACCAGCAAGCTCTGGAACACGCACCACAAGGCCGAGGACGTCGAGACCGCGCTAGACATCACCCTCGCCGACCTGCAGACCGACTACGTCGACCTCTACTTGGTAAGACCCCTCCATCCCTCCTTGTTCTCCTCACCCCACCCTTCTTCAACGGCCCGCCTAACGCAGCTATGTCGTGCATTAGATTCACTGGCCCGTGTCCTTCAGGAAGGAGAACGACACCAACCGCTTCCCGCTGCACCCCGTGACGGAGGCGGTGGACGTCATTGACGTCCCCGTGTCCGAGACGTGGAAGGCGATGGAGGACCTCGTGAAGAAGGGCAAGATTAGGTCCATTGGCGTCTCCAACTTCACCCGCGAGAAAATTGAGGAGTTATGGAAGACGGCCGAGATCAAGCCGGCGGTGAACCAGATCGAGGCGCACCCGTACCTGCAGCAGCCTGACCTATTGGCCTGGTCCAAGGAGAACGTGAGTAGTACCTACCTATTCCCTGCTGACTGAAGAATGTTCCGTGGTTGCATTTGGGCGGAGGTTCGCTAATCTGGGGAAACATGCAGGGTATTGTTGTTACGGCGTACAGCCCCCTTGCCAACAACATTTACAACCTGCCTCGGTGAGTGGCACAATCCGAGCTGTGTGTGTGCGACCCGCAGACTAACAGTAAGCAGCGCCGTTGATGACTCCACAATCATTGAGATTGCAAAGTCTCTAGGCAAGGAGCCCGCCCAGGTTCTCGTCAGCTGGGCTGTCCAGAGGGGAACCGTCGTGCTCCCCAAGTCCGTCACTCCCTCAAGAATTGAGAAGAACCTGGAAGGTACAGTCCACTTGCTCACGATGTAGTTGGAGAAGAAGTCACTGACATGTAACAGTGTTCGAGCTCCCCAAGGACGTCTTTGAGAAGATCAACTCCCTCGACAGGAAGCACCGCTACAACTTCCCCGCGCGCCTGGGCCAGGACATCTTCGGTGAGTCCGACCCGGAGACGCTCAAGAAGGCGGTTGAGACGTGGGTGGCACAGCAGAAGAAGATTAGAGCCGGCCAGGCATAGAACAGCATTCTTTGTGTGTAACTTTGTCGTAATAGAGCTGAAAACACCCACTAGATAGAATTGATGGAAACTCATGAAACCACCAATAAGAAGACCCAGACCTCGGTGGATGTTTTCCGTGCCCCTTTTCCTCACCGAGCGGAAAAGTGCACACCGAAACCCCGCAGAGACCCGTTCCTCTGCTGGATCACATTCGGGTGAGGGTGCACCGAACCCCGCACTGCCCATGGAGCAGCTCCCCACTTGCCGTTTGCGGCCGGGTAATGGCCGCGGGCATTGCCGATGGAGATGCTGCTGCGGAGTCGGACGGGAGTTGAGCAAAGGCTCGGCGAGGTTCCGGACTATGTTCCGATGGGGGCGCATTTTGCTCCGTCAACTCCGTCACATCTCCGCTTTGGTAGGGTAATAATAGTTCACGATTGCCTCAAGAGTGTGTTATTCTTGCAAGCACACCATTGACTCGGCATCTCCCACTCAGAACCTCAATTGCTCTCTCTGTAGTCTTTTGCAAGGGCAACCCCTCATTTCATACGTCACACCACCCCCACAAGAGTTCATCATGGGCAAGATCGCAAAGATGGAGTACTTCCGGGTGCCGCCTAGGTGGCTGTTCGTGAAGATCACGGACGAGGCGGGCAACGTCGGATGGGGCGAGGCGTCACTGGAGGGTCACACCCAGGCTGTTGAGGGATGTCTCGATGCTTGGTTCGAGAGGTATTCGGGCATGGAAGCTGAGTATGTCCATTGCATTCGACATCAAGACGTTCTTTATACTGACGCGATACAGTGACATTGAACACATCTGGCAAATGTCATGGAGGACGACTTTCTACCGCGGAGGCCCTGTCTTTATGAGTGCATTGGCTGGCATCGATATTGCGCTATGGGATTTGAAGGGTGAGTTCATTAGCCTCGGTCCATGAAACACCTTGCTGAGAGCCATTTAGCGAGAAAGCTGGGCCTACCTATCTGGCAGCTGCTCGGTGGAAAAGTCAGAGACAAGCTCAAGGTGTACGCCTGGATCGGCGGTGACAGGCCAAATGACGTCGGAGCTCAAGCGTGAGCAGCCCCCAAACGACTCACAATACGAGCCTTGCCACTGACATCTCACGCAGACAAGCAAGAAAGGATCAAGGCTTCAAGTGCGTCAAGATGAACGGCACTGAAGACCTCGGCTGGCTCGACTCCCCAAACGCCCTGGACGCCGCCGTCGAGCGCGTCAAGGCCGTGAAGGCCCTCGGCATGGACGCCGGTGTTGACTTCCACGGTCGTGTACACAAGCCCATGGCGAAGCAGCTTGCGAAGGCGCTGGAGCCGCACCGCCCCCTCTTCATCGAGGAGCCCCTTCTCTCAGAGCACTTGGGCGGTATCAAGGAAATCAGCGGCCTGACATCTATCCCCATCGCTCTCGGCGAGCGTCTGCACAGCCGTTGGGACGTGAAGCCGTTCTTGGAGGCGGGCTGTGTTGATATCCTGCAGCCTGATATCTCTCACGTTGGTGGCATTTCTGAGATGCGTCGCATTGCGGCAATGGCGGAGGCGTATGATGTTGCGTTGGCGCCTCATTGCCCACTTGGCCCCATCGCTCTGGCTGCCAATGCCCAGGTAGATTTCACGTCGCCGAACTTTGTAATTCAAGAGATGAGCTTGGGTATTCACTACAACAGCACCGGGCAGGATTTGACGAGCTACACAAAGAACCCAGAGGTCTGGAAGGTGACGGATGGATATATCGACCTTCTCACTGGGCCGGGCTTGGGCATTGAGATTGACGAGGATCAGGTTCGTCAGCTGTCTAAGGATGCTAAGGCATGGGTCAGCCCCGGATTCATCGGGCCTGGTGGTGAGATTAGAGAGTGGTAGATGCTCGTCATACCGCACCTAACTGGAACTGAAAATAGCACAAATGTAATACAACGCATCAAAATCACTTGACAAATCGAGGCGACTATTGAATTGTACTAGCTGTATCTTGGTTGATCGACTCAAGGCGCCTTCTGAAGCCCTTCATGCTTCACGATCCACCCGCCGTCTTTGGGGAAGCCGGGCGCATCACTTTCTGAACCTTGCCATCCAGCAACCATGTATGCGACTGCAGTATTCATCAGTATTCTACCATGCTCCTATTGGGGATTCCGTAAAATCAAACTGACCAGCGTACAGAAAGCCAGCATTGCCTGGCATAAAGGGCGGAGGGGTACCGCCTGCTCGCAGTTAGCAATGCTCAACAAGATCATCCATAAATGTTACACATACCGTCTCCTCCGCGTACAGCAAACCCAGCATCATCAAACGTCCAATAGCTGTACGCCGTCAAATGATAAATAGCCCGTTCTGGGTTACCAATCCGCGCAGAGTTGATCGCCAGCACGGGCCGTCCCCATCCGCGAATCTTCTGGTCCGTCCAGACTTCCCAGACCTTATCTGCCGTTCTCAGAGCCACCTCGGGGTCCACAGCAGGCGTGTCTGGCAATACGCCCTGTATCATGATGAGGCTGCGCGGGTCGCCGTTGAGAGCTGGGTCCTCCCACCAAGAACTGTTCAGGCCTTCATAGACAGCGTAGAGTCCGTCGATCTGAGGGGGAGGGGCGAGTTTCTCCGCGACGGTGGTCCATTTGTCTGGGACGGGTTGACCGAGTCTTTTCTTCCATTCCCGGGCGGTGTCTAGGCCGTATCTCCAGTAGGCGATCTACACGCAGGTGAGCTTTGGTACTCTCTTAAGGTGGCGAGATGCATTCACCTCGTAAGCCAGGTTCAAAGTTTCTGAGGGAGGTGTATTCTCCGTTACGCCGTATGAGCTGCAATGCATGTCGTCAGTCCATCAACCGGGGATTTATATGATCTCAGACTTACGGTGGGCCGAGATCGTAATGGCCTGAGGTCTCGTTGAACCATGCGTATGACGCCATGTAGTCAGCGGCAGCCGTGATTACCTCGTCCCATCGCTTGAGCGTTTCGTCGGTTGGCGAGGACTGGTATGCTAACTCTGCCAAATACATGGTATGGGGCTATCAAGGTCAGCGTGGAAGCCTTTTGCACAATATTCTGGCTACTCACTTGCTGCCAAAGTAGCAAGCCATTAATCCCACCTGGAGAGCTAACGCCAGTCTCGAGCTCCGTCATCTTCGGCCACCTAGGAACTCTTTTGTGAGTTTAAAGTTCTTGTAATTGTGAACTGCTCATGGAGGCAACTGACCTGGCTCCTTCCCACCCCATAGCTTTAGCCCTTGCAAAAGAAGAAGGCAAAAGCGTCTCATAGAGCTGAGGAAAGATGTTGTCGAAGTACTTCTTCCGACCCCATGTCACCCAATGCGCGTTGTGCCATACAACCATTTCCATATGAAACTTTCCTGGGTTATGTCAATGATGTACTCATCATTTTGGATTCAGGGGCGTCACGTCATTTCAACTTACCATACCACCCATTATTCATCAGCCCACTCTCCTGGGGCGACTGTCCCGAAGCTGCACTGTTGACGCGGACGTGATACTGTGACAAGATGATGCGTCTTTGCAACTCTGTAGCATTAGGGTTCGACGAAAGAGTGAGGTCAACAAAGCCGCCCTCGCTCCAGTATTCGTGCCAACCAGCCCGATTTCGTTCCTGCACTATTGACGGAATCTCGGGATCTTGACGGTCTGGTGAAAAATGCGCCGTAAAGAGAACGGAGTTCGCCGAGCTGTTGGACGCCAAGGTGTATCGATGAGCAGTAATCTTTTCAGAACCTTCCGGCTCGTCTCTCGACAAGTGGAGGGAGGAATTGGTGGGCCAGCGCAGATTGACGTAGTAGCTGGTCTCTTGCAGCTCGTGGTAGATGTGTGCCAAGTCGGGCCTTCCACAGCTGTTCACGATGCGAGTCGTGTGGTTCAGCGGGAAGTCGTAGACACCGGCGAAAACTTCGTATTTGTACTTGGTTGAGTGAATCGGCGGGTAGGGGAAATCAAGCTCGACCTTGAGGTCTCCCGAGGCCATAAGACTAGAATCGATCTGGAATGTCACGGCATCGGTGTCGAAGTCGCCTTGTGTGATCACTTTCACTGCCTCGCCGCCGACTCTGAATGTAGACGTAATGGTTCCACTCCACAGCTCTAGCTGCTGCCTCGGCTCAGCGATTTTGTCCGGCGAAAGAGTAGCGCCTTTGTACTTCAGACCAATGCGCCCCAGGTTGATTCGATTCGGGTTGCCTATGAGCCATTGAGATACTGCGGGAAGATTGGGGTCGGGGATGTCGTATGAGACGTTTCGTCCGTGTGTTAGTCGGGGCACGCCGGTGTAGTCGCTCAGCTTCTCCCTGCGGTCTCGATCAGCACACAGATGCACGGAAGATGTGTCATCTTCGCCCTACCCATTGGTTGGCAACGAGTCGTTATGCCATGCCCAGCTCGATAAAGTGTTGAAGGGCAGAAACGTCTATGGTCTATATTAGAGGTACCACGTGGTCAAGCGCCGGGATGCAGCGCTCACCTGCATGCCCGTGTTGTCGACGTTGAAAGCAAAGTTACCATTGCCGACCTGCAATGGTGTAGTCTCGTTGTCAATTAGGCTGGTTCGGACGACATTGAATTGGGAGACTATTCTTTGTCTTTGGCCCTGTTAGAATATTGCGTCTCGTCGCCAAGAATATGAAACGTACCTGTCGATGCTGCCTAGGGCCAGAGCCGGCAGCAGGGCGACCCAGGCTAACGTCGTGAATGCCATCGTGAGCATGCCTAGGTCAGAAGCAAACAGTCGGATCCGCTCCAAGGACACCTCTTTTACCGACAGAATGCCCTTCCTTGCCTACGGTTTTGTAGCAACTCACCCGGAAGAATTTCTCGTCGGGATTCCTCCACACGGATGATGATCCGGGAGAAACGGAACCCAGCCCCTCTTGTTTCCCGACAACTTGGTTCATTACGTCCATCACGCTTCCAATTAGCCCGACGCCATCCTGAAGGAGCACGAAAATAGGAAGCTGTTGGCCTGTTCTGAGGGGAGATCAGCGCGGGGTAACTGCACAGGAGAACCAGGTACCCCAACGATGGGACTCCGCCCCTGAAGCTTCTTGTATTTAGGCTATGCGGGGCTACCTTAGCTTGCCGATCGCGACACTTTGGTTGACTTGAGTTCGGAAACACCGTCACAACACGAAACACTATACAGCAATTCACAGCTCAGTCCAACGCCTCCGCTGTAGTATAATGAATGAGACTTAGCGTCGTGACCTTCGTGAGTATATATAAAGTTCTCTGAGTTTAAGAAACTCAGGCGGTCATATCATCAACCTAGCTGGGCCAGCAGTGAGTCAGTGTCCGAATATTAAGTTGATATTACTCTGTATGTTCAGTATTAATTACCATTCAAAATATACAATCAAACTGCGTAACCCTAGGATTCGTAATAATCTGCAACTTCGGGCGCAAACGGAATATGGTACCGTCGAGCACGCCTGGGACGCAGCTCGGGAAGTCCCTCGTAGCTATCCGAATAAAGTCCATCTTCGTAGGGAGAGTGCAATTCCTCACCCACAAGGTGGTACGGCCTGCGTCGGCTGCGTGACCGAGGGGTACGAGCCCTCTGATTCATGAAGTACCTCTCATGCTGGCGGCCGCGAGGAGGCTGACTGTGAGTGCGTCCGAAGTGTTGCCGTGCCTCGGGGAAACGAGCATCTGGAAATGTAGGGTGATCCATGATCAGCTCGGGCCTGCGCTGGTATGGCACTGTTCTCGCTTCCAACGAATCGACTTGAGCTTGGAGCGATTCCAATTGTTTATGACGCTCGTCCTCGGTATCACCTTTCGAAGATTGAAGTTCCAGCCCTCGAGTTCGACTGATCAACTCGGTAATTTGTTGCAAAGTCAATTCTGACTGCTCCAGAGCCCGGCCCCTCTCCAATGAGTCCCAGAGGTCCTGGGTGATTGCTACAGGCGTTTTTGATCGGCGATACTCCAGCGGAATGGCTCTTCGATGTGGCTCTGGATCCATGTCCAGATCTCTCAAACGGTCCCGACGTCGCACCATGACATCCCTGACACTATCTTCCAACAATCTGCCAAACTCATCTCGCACGATTGCCGCGTTCTTCGCCATGGCATCCTGCTGTGCTACGGCCGCTGCTCGCTCCTTCCTTCTCCTCGCTTTCTTGAACTTTTCATGCTCCTTGTCATTGAGCAAGTCTCGCACCTGTTGTTGAACCAGTCCTATGCCGCAGTCAACGCATGGAGGCATGTCTTCAATTTGTGGTTGGCGTGGTTTCGGTCGAAACACAGGGACGAAGTTAGGTTCTTGGAAACCTTGGCCATATCTCGGAGGACCCTGGTGGACGTAAGGGGCTTGTGGCAGCGGATGAGGATATGGATATGGCGGCGGGGCAGGTGGCTGGTTGACTGGGACGTTGAGCACGAAGTGGGCGGGGGGGACGCCGTTCCACCAGCCTGGTGCAACATTCAGATGCGGAACAGGCCGATATCCAGGTTGGTAGAAAGGTGGTAACCATGCCCCGTTCATATTCCTGCCTGTTCGGGGTTGTTGCGGAGGTGCTGCAGGATATGGATGTGGTTGTGATGTCGCCAGTGGACGCATTTTGGGTGGTGGGTTTGGTTTCGCTTCCGGCGGTGGTGGCGGTGGTGGCGGTGGTGGCGGTGGTGGTGGTGGATGGGAGTATAAATACTCTGCCATGTGATCGGGCAACTGATACCCACCCGGACCTATGTAGGAAATATCGGGATACTTTCGATTTTTTCGGTGGATTCTATACGCGCCGTTGTTCTCGGGGCGCTTATTCGAGGGATTCGATGAATCCCCTGGACGCTTCCGTGACTTATGTTGTCGTGTCTCATTCCACTCATCTTCTCGCGGGCCCTTCCCCTCTCCACTCTTCTCGGACTTTCCGGGCTTCATGTATATCGTAGTTGGCTCCTTCAGTTTGTCCTGAGGCTGGCGTCAACGGGTCGGAGTGTCCTCTGTATATCGGGCCAAGCTTGTTTGACGACCGCGAATGTAGCACGAAGGATGCCTAGATACCGAATACGCCGGCAATATGATTGCGAGTGAGTAAGGAAAAGTGCAGAATTGGAGAACGAAAATATAGTACCGTACTGCTTCCCTCGATTTCGATGGTTCGCCTGGAATGGCAGACCAGGCTGTGAGGCAACCGTTTGCTGGGATGCCTAGCCAGACGTCAGTCACCCCTCTTTGGTTAGTCTGCCCTCAACGGGGCTCTGTGCATGCGTCTTCCAACTTTGTCCTGGACCCGCGCTGATAAAGATAAGCCAGTTTGTGCTGGGGAACGTTGCAAATTAGGAGACGGGTTATCTGGCTACGTAAAGCAGCAAGCACACCAGCGCATAGACTGCACTGGAGAAGCTGGATATGAGCAGCCCTACGATCTCGATGAATCTACAGCGGGAGATACGAATCACAGGCCCCTACGTATTTTGCCATGGGTGAAGGGACTTTGAACACATACGCCACGATTTCTAAAACGTTGGCTCGCATTGAAGCCGGGTACTCCTCCCGAGTTGAACATGAGGTACCAACAAAAGTGGTGTGATTGCGTGCTTTTCTCTACCCCGCATCATTTTTCATATGCATGTCAGATTCCCAGTCTGACATTGCACCTGTGATTTATTTCCAATGCAGGATGGCTCGCATAGCCTCTATTCTGCACGGTCAACATGCAGTCAATGAGCCAATGATGTTGATGCACGTTATTTATCACCTCACTCGGCCTTGGAGGTTTGTGCTTCGAGAGCCTGATGGTGATGACCATGATACCAATGATACGCGCATCATGCATAGGCCACGGGTTTACTGCTTGATTACGAACACACGACTGGCAGCTGAACGCTGCGACTTAACTACACCTAGGAAGCGCCATGCATCTCACCTGGCAGCTGCAGACGGTTTGCATACGATTGCTACCTTTTCTTCTTTCTGACAAGAGTTGTCGTCAAGTTTCTAGCCGCAAAGCGTTCACGTCACTAGGACACGCACTGCATCTCAAAATGGAAGCCTCCAGTACGGCTGCATCAACCATCGCCTTATTCGAGAAGCTCGAAAAGCTCTTCCAGATAATCAAGGACATTAACAATCTTCCAAACGCTATCCACAGAGTGGGAGATTCTTTCCCAATAGTCTTGGATGTTGTCAAGGTTGTCCGAGATGAACCCAACACGAAGTTGCCGGGGTATGTGAACGCATTTCTCGAACTTTGCAACAACCAGGCGAAGCGAATTGGATACATCTTCAACGCAATCAGGAAAGCAATGAAGCAGAGAAGTGAGGATAGAAACTGGTCGACATTCGTTGATTTCTACCGCGAGAAGGTCCGCGAGGCGGGCAAAGTGGAAGCCCTGATGGAGTCGATCTTGCAGAAACTGAGGAACTTGGCCGTTACTCAAATTTTCAAATCACTCGACGAGGCAAAACCAGCGATTGACAAAATGACTGGAGCCATCAAGGCTCTTAAGGATGCGGAACCGCCGTTGCCGGACTCGGACTTCAACGAGAGCGCGGCCTAGCAGTCGATTTCGTCAATCGGAAGGGAATATTGTCAATCGGATCTCACCCCCGGAATACTGTGGAAAGCTCGTCTACATCCAGTGGGTCCGGAGCAATACATTCTGGTACGGGCTTTGCGAACTGGAATGGAATCGAAATTTGCTGGTTCTTTGTAGGGGCTTGTGAATCATTTCTATCATTTAACGATCTCAAGTTCGTCTCAAATCTGTGACCTCTCAGCTTCTTGGACAGGAATCTTGACACTTCACCCGCCGGCAGTCCGATTTTGACCATCTCGATTTTCTCAAGTGCACTTTGGAGCCGCTTGAGTTTGAGAAGGTGCAAGGAGGGAAACCTCGCATCGCCAAATGAGCCCAGGGTAACGGAGGGTGGTCTTTGGAGACGCGAGATTCCAACAGACGGGAAGGTGTGAAAGCAAGAACACTATGGTGCTACAAAGATGAAATTAAAGTCCCTGCTGATAATGTACTTCAGACAGAGACTGCCTAGTTTTCCTGTGTCTGCGCGGCTATGTTTCGTGCATACTGATTGCTCCTACCAGTAACGACGACGACGATGACGACGAAGATGGCGATAATAACGACAATAACGATAGCAATTATGATAGGCACGACGACGAGGGTTAAGCAGAGTACAGCCACATGAGAATTAGTCGCTCAATTACAAGTAAAAAGGCGGTCTCTTAGGAAGATAAGCATCGTTATGCCACGTCAGCTATGGTTTCTCCCTTCCGCAGGCCCCAGGTATCTTTCTTCCCTTCTAACTTTTTTCTTCGCAGTTTGCCGCCTGGAGGCGCACCTTGTTGACTGCCGTATGACTCTCACGGGGAAATATTCGAGGGCCAGGATGGCCTGGGCTAGAGAAACCTCTATGGCCACCTATGGGGGTATATGAAGAGAGCGCGAATCGCCTCGATTACAGGGGGCAGGCATCTCCCTCTTCACGCTGCCACAACCCATTACACCAAAATGCCGAAGCAATACTACATTCACTACCTCTGTGACCGCCTCAAGAGCGGTGACAGCCTCACCCAGCTCATCAGAGAAAAAGAGCATGATGTCTGCAAGTTTCGAAGCAAACGCCCTTTCCCTCAGAACCGCAACAAATTCGAAGAAGCATTGTTCTTCTGTCGCCTACTGGCATATGTCATCCTCCGCCGATACGGCCGTAATGATCCATCTCTTCTCAAAATATTCAACGAGTTCGAAGACATCGCCAAAGCATTCGAAAACAACGAGATGACCGACGACCAGTATCGCGAAGTAAACCGGTTGAACCATCCAAAGCAAGACAGCCTGTTGGCGGAACTCAAGGCAGCACTGTAGCTCGATGGAGCAGTAGTTGATGAGGGTGGTTAGACATGTAGGGGGTGGTTGGAGTAAGGGGGACCTCTCATGTATCCCTGGTCATACAAAAATTCACAAAAGAATTCTTCACAAAATGGCCCCAGGTATCTCTCCAGCCACCATTGCCATAATCGCCTAAAGTCGATCTCCTTGTTCTACGCCGACCACCAAGTCTTCTGGGAATCTGTGACTCCCAAGAGTCAGTAGCTGGACTAGCATGAGGCTCGCTCGAATGACTAACACCCTCATCTAGCCATGTCTTTCTGGTCACACGCCTCGTGATAGCCTCCCATTTATACGCGTATAAATACGCCGAACACAACACCAATAGCGTAATCGGTGCAGCTATTACCCAGTACATCCATGAGCTCTGAGGCATGTCGCGAATATCCACAGTGTTCATTCCAAAGAAGCTCGTGACGAATGACCTAGGGAGCACGTAAGTCTTTGTTCAGCCCGTGGCTCATGCTAAGTAAAGCAACTCATGCGTTCAGAAGACTTACAGGGGTAGGAAAAATAATGTGACCAAGGTAAAAACTCGAATGGCATTCCCATGTCCCTCGTCTAGGACCTCAATGCTCTCCTTTACTCTGGCCCGCAGATCGGCAGCTCGGTGCAGCATAGCGAGCAGCTCGTCATGCTCACGCTGTCTTTCCGCCTTGGCTCGCTCAATCACTTTTCGTTCCAGTGAAAACCGTGCTCTTCTCTCTCGATTCACGACTTGGAAGGACGTGGGATCTGAGACGCGTTTACTGTTGTCAAGACAATGCCACTGAGTTACGTTGAGGTCTTTGAGAGCCTGGAGTTCCTCTTCGAGTGCGCGAATAGCCAGGAATGCTCGGCGTTTTGGACGTAGACTTGCGTTGAAGTCGAGAGCACGCGCATGAGCTGCGTAGAGGGCTATGAGATCCAAGGATGTCGTGGGCACCGCTACTTTGTGCCCCGGCTTTTGGGATGCAGCATCGAGAACACCTAGGTCTTCCGTCCACGTAACGGCCCTCCTTCTTGTTCCTCTGCGTAGCTCTCCGCCGATCCCAGAAAAGCTCAGGGGTACCTTGGATGACCCAGCGCCGATACGAAAGGCGCCTCTCTGTACGTTGGCCATGGCCATCGCGACAATGTACTCGGCTCCGACAGCACCGAGTCGAACGCTGCTTGTGTTTTCGGCCGTAATACCGAGGATGAGGTCCTCTCTTGCGCTTTCGATATGCGCAATCACCTCGTTAAGGGTGGATACATAGCGAGTCTTCGCCTTGTTCACACGGTTGTTTCGATGACCTTTGAAGTTTTTCTCTCTCGATGTCAGTAAAACAATTCCAGCCTGGACGGAAAACAACGCTACGATGTTCTCAAAAGCAAGGAGAAGACTGGTAGGCAAAGCTGGCGCCTCAGTCTGGTCGATGCTCCTCTTCTGCTCCTGGGCTTTTTGGTCGCCATCCTCGCGAGATGTACCTGGATAACCGTTGGTCGTCTCACGTGTCTCATTTTGGGTGCCAGGAATCCCGTCTCTGTCGTTTCCAGTACCTCGGCTACCAACACGCTCATTAAATCCCTCTTCTGGTCGGTTTCCTGGTCTCGCAATAAAGAGATGCAGCTCTCTTGACACGTCGAGAATTCTTTCAAGATCCTCTTTGAAGACCATCAAACCTTCGATCAACGTATTAAACAGACGGTCCTTCTCCGCCGTCCTTGCATTCTGGAGCCACACGATACATGGGTCCTCGTGAGGTGTGGCGGGCACTAGGTGGTCCGACGACTGAGTATGAGCACGACAAGCGTGAAGGTGCTCAAGAGCTCCGACGAGATCGTACTCTCTCTTGCTATCGCATGCATCGCATGTCTTGAATACAGGGTTCTTAGCATGGTCGTAGCAAGATCCTTGAATAATCCAGGACTGCTCGCCCTCGACGGCAGTCTTGAGTGCCGCGAATCGAATGTGCTAAATACAGTGTCAACAGAAGCCAAGGAGTCCTAGCATTGATTACGATTCGAGGGGTAGTATAAAGTGGTTTTCAGCGACTTACTCTGAAGATCAAGTCCAATGCACCCCAAAATCGATCTATGACACCTTTGATGTCTGCATAGAACCCCGCTCCGTCATCCTTAAGTGGCAAAAACAGACTTAAGATCGTCTTAGAAATTGTAAACACGTCCCGGATTAAATCATTCGTCTGCTCCGTGGTATTGGCGTATAGACCCTCTTGTTTCTTTGGAGAGCCATCTGTCGAACGGGATGAAGCAGGACTCTTCTGGGACGCTGACCCTTTCTTCGACTCTTCGGTAGAATTTTCTTTTGTAACATTGAGTGTCACAGACTCCGATCCCAGGACACTCAAAATATCGTGGCGGTCGCAGATGTCTTCGAGAGAGCACTCGTAACCGCTTTTATAAACCCTGCCGTAAAGAATACTCTCTCGGAGAGACCCGTCAATTTTACGGAGAAGACGGACCATTGTACTCATGCTGCCCTCTTCATTCTGCTCTCCTCCCCTCCCTTGTGTGACCTTCCACATCAAGAATGGGGTTGCAGGTGTGTCAAATGGCTTGGGCGGCTCCCTCCTGATGGACCTCTCACGGCTTGGAGTTCGCACAAACCTGCTACGCGAAGCGATTGACGACGGTTTTGGTGAAGATATTTCGTCGTTACTCCCGCTCTCTGAAGAGCTGAGGTGATATGTTCGACTTGTTTTCTTTCTGATGAATCCACCGTTGACGATTTTGGCGGGCTTGATGTTTTCAGCTGCTTTCTCGTGTGCCGCGGTCTTTGACGAGGAATCAAAGCGATGCTTGAAGTCGTAAAGGCGCTGACGAGAGTCCGCATTAGATCTGGAGTTTTCGGTGAGAATTTAGGGAAAATATGGTTTATTTTAGATCGTCATATCACTTGCCTGTCAACAACGATCGTGCTCGTTGACGGTGGTGGTATTGATCCCGATCCTGAACTTGAGAACGACTCTGACCTACGCCGTTTTATGGTTCGTGGGGCAGGTTCGGATAGTGCATGCGTGGAGCGGGCTTTTTTGCGATGCCTTTCAAACCCGTAATGAGGACCTGCGTACGTGTGAGGTGTTCCCGGTCTTCGGATAAGTGCGCCTCTTGACACATGTGCATCAGAAGCCGGGGCCTGTGGTGTGTACGAATAACGTTGGATCTGCATCCTGGACGTAGATAAATCGTCATAATAATTCTTGACTCTTTGGGGTCTCTCATAATTTTGCGAAGGTGAACGTGGAGGTGGCGGCGGTGCAAAGTATTCGGAGCCAAGGAGATGATGTCTAGGAGCTTTCCGCCATAAGCTCAAGCGAATGTCATCGAAAGTGATCAGAGCTTCCTTTAACATAGTCGCCCAGATCTCCGAGTTTACATGAACGGCATTATGCGTATCTTCGACGATGTCGAAATCTTCGATTGATGTGAGGTTTGTGATACGGGCAATAATCTCCTACGAAGATTGTGTCAGGTTGAGAAGCACACGTTCGTTGCTGAAATATTGCAGCTTGATATTGTGGTCTGCCATTGAACTTACAGCAAAACTAAAGTCGTGCTTGATATAGGAGTAGTACTCCTTGCCATGGAAGTCTGTGATTCTCACGGTCACAAGCGGTCTGGAGTTGCTCTCGTCGATAATAATGTTATCTTTGCAGATGGCAGACAGCGGCACTTCACCCCATGTCAATAGTACCTCTGGACTTCGGCGTAAGCTTCGGTGTTCGAGTACAGGCGCAACAGAACTCACCTGGCCCGATGAGAAGGCTCTTCATTCTGGCAACGTGAAGAATTTCCTTGCCAAGCCACTTCTGTGTTTCGGAAAGCACCTGCATTTTGTCTCTAGCGTCGCCCACATCATAACCGTAGTGAGCACTTAGAAGACTCTCCATGTTATCATGGTCCATCTTCCTCTGACCTTCGCGAAAGACGAGATAAGGAGTAGAGTAGTAGGTAACCGAATTTCGGAGGAGTGGATTGCCAGAGGGAACCCCGTCAACACGAGCAACATTGGTCCTAGCCCCTTGGCCGTTTAGGGTCGCACTGCGACTGAAGTCTTGGTGGTGAGGGGAGACACGTTCAAGAAGACCCAGCGCAAGAGATTGGTATCCTGTGTGAAGAAATGGACAGCAGATGACGAGACTCTGTTTCCATCGGTCAACCTTTCTTCTTTTATAGTTTCAATATAGAGAATATGCACCCTTATGACTTTAACGATGTCTGAAGCGTGCCGCACATGCCTGTCGAGAAGTCAGTCTTGCTCTGAACCCCGCCACGAGAAGTACCTACAGCCAGTAGATTTGACGCGGCGCAGGCTTCGCATGATCGAGAGCATCCTTCTGACAATATAGTGTCACCACGCTTTTTGCCTTCTCATCTGTGAAACTCTCTGCTGCGTTAATGACAACAAGTTCGGTATCAATACCATCGCCGAAGCTTGCACGTTTCCTGAACCAAGCTTGGAGCATGCTGCCCGCATTTCCGTTAGATCGTCTGGCGTCTTCTATGAACCTTTCGTCTTTCAGGTCATATGATAAGGTCTCGGCGAGTTGTGCGTCGTTGTCATCTCTGTCAGCGGATATCGGGGGCACATAGCCGCGTCTATGAATTCGATCGCGACTGCGGCTGCGACTGTTACTGATATATTTTGCCGGACTTGGGCTTTCTCTTCGGCTACGGCTGAAGTGGATACTACCGATATTCCGTGAATCGCTAGAATAGGCGGTGTCGGATGTTCTGCGATCTTTTCGTCGTTTCATTTGCTCTTGGCGTCTCCTCAATTCTGCCAGCTCTCGGGGCGGCGGCATCGGTATTTCGTCATCCTCTTCCCACTCCCACTTTGGATGATATCGGTCATCACTTGCATCCCGACGACTAGTTTCAACACCAGACGAGCTGGAATCGCTGTGATAATTTGGGATACCATCAGCGTCATCCCATCTATTTGACCCTGCGCTAGGACGAGGTCTGGGGCCTCCGGATATTGGTGGCTCTGGTCGAAAGGTGACATTTCGTCGAAAGCGGACACGCAGCGGCTCACTTTCACTTGACTCGTTGCATGACTCCATTGACCGATGAGACGCATGCTTGGAAGAACCGTCGTATGACTCCGGTCCTTTATCAGATGTTGAGAATTGTGCCAGATCTTCGTCGTCCTCAGCGTCTTGGACATATGCGACGCGCGAACGGAAATAAGAAGGTCTACTTGTCTGCGAGTCGGTCAATTTCCACAACAGAAGTTCAAAGATGGAGGTCCAGGAAGGGAAACCTACTTTTTCAACATTGCCAGTATTGGCGTTTTCTATTGCAGTTGAGAATTTCGGCTCTTCCGCGTCTGATTCTTCACTACTGTGATCCGGACCATTGTGGTCATCATGCGATAGCGTTTGTTTGATCTCGTCATCTTCGCCGTCTTCCAATTGCAGCACGTAAGGGGATGTGGCCTCAATTGAGTGATCATCGCCGCTGTCAGATCGTTCCGTGTCTTCTTTCGACAGACTGGCGTGGTCATTGTCGGAATCTGGGGCTAGAGTCGCCGCATTGAAATCGTTCGTGTTGGGACTTTGACCTTCATGTGTGTTGCGTGGCTCCATGTTCATGCCCACACATTGCGTGAAAGTCCCAAAAACGCAAGAAAAGGATGCAGAAGAGTTTTGCGAAATCAGGCTGACCAGATTTCACAAGACCCGTTTACATGTCCAGGGATCTCGTCCTCTTCGGTGCTAGCTGCTTATGTCGCCTTAGATAAGCACCAACCACCCCGGTCCCCTCAGCCAATTGAATGTGGCTCATCGTCGACCCTGCATAAGCTGAATGGTAAGGTAGTCTCCAGCTTGCGTAAGAGTTGTTGGACTGAGCGGTGAATCCTGCGAACTTCGAGAGAAGATTGATGACTTTTCAGCAATTGTGTCGTGCGCTGGACACACTTCTCGTGTTCCGAAATTGAAAGCTGGATTGCTTAAATGTATCACGTTTCTGTTTTGAGGCCGCCTTTTCTACTATCCTAGAGCGAGCGTATTTCCTGTCCACCGATTTACTTCGACCAAGGATAATACTCAGAGGAGTGGACTGGAAACAGTTAACAGCAACGGGCGATAATAACGGACGAGGAGTATAGCGACGACAATATCGATGACACCGAGGACGACGACGACGACGACGACGAAGATGATACTAGATTCATAGAGCACATACGGACTCACAGGAAAAGCAGGTTGTCGCCTTGTTATTTGATCTGGTAGACTGTGAAGAGACGCTAATAGAAGGAACTGACCACCAAGGTGTGCAAGTGAGTTTTGGTCTTACCACAGCTTACACTAGTGGTAAGCTCATCGAGGGAATGAAGTGCTTCGCTAAATCGCTGAAACAACAAGTACAAAGGCGTTGAACCCCATCTAGTGAAATCTTTGAAAAGCTCAATCCTGTTCGCCTCAAATGTAGTCTATCACTCTTTCTTCAAAAGCATCTTATATGCCCACTTTGAAAATTCTATCGCCTTCGCATCTACGAAGGTCGTAGTCATGTCCGAAACATATATCGCCGCAGGCGCCCATAGGATGAATGCCAAGAAAATGCCACAAATGTAGGATATCTCAGTGTCTCCGCCGCCGACAACACCCAAAGTCCACCGAGCTAGGACCAAGCCTAGTGAATACAGGAGTGGACCATGGATCATATACAGCGAGAAAGAGATCTTGCCCATGTATTGGGAGAAACGGTTGGTGAAAAGAATCTGCAAGAACGGGTTTTGGTCGACAATGAACACTGTTAGCACTGCACCGATTGGTATTACAAGGGCCTCTTTGAATCTTGCTGGGACCATGGATGCTAGGTTCACGTAGCCAGGTGACTTCGCTGCATCCTCCATGTCTTCTGGCATGCTAAGCAGCCACAATGAGATCAAGAATGATACGAGCCCGACGCCCCGTCCAAGTATGCGATAAGACGTGTGGCCTCGTTCCGTTCGATGTACGGCCCCATCCGAGGGCAAAGTACCCCGGTGTTCGGGCTCAAGTTGCCTGGTTGGCCACCTCCATTTCCAGTCCTCGAGTTCCAAATGCAGGTCGCACAAGAACATGCCGCTGAGAAACAAGAACATAGCCCAATAGACGAAGACGCATTGGAGATATATCGCTAAGCTTAGTGCAAAGAGCATCCTGACTTTGTTATGCACTCTGGTGAAAGCCGTCAAGAACATGAACACCACCATGGAGCTCATAAACTCGATAGGGATTGTCCAGAGATGGGGGTCAAGTAGAGGCTCTGGGTCTTCGGAATCGGCTCGGACAACAGGCTGACCGATGGGATCAGTGGTGAGGACCTCGGCATAGATGTAGTACTGCAGCTGGCCCCAGAGAGAGTCAAAGTGTGGCAGAGGCCTTGTCGGATAAGCCACGCCGGGTAATCCCTTGTCGGGGAACATGTTGAAATAGCCCATCATGAGGGTGACAAACCCGACCACGGCGGGTGGAAGGAAAAGCCGGGTATGTCGGCGGAAGACGGACGACGCGATGGCCGAGCCTGCTTTCTCAAACTCTCCTTTACGAACTAACGTCAGAAAGTGGTGCGATATTGTGTAGCCGGACACGACGAAGAAGACGCTGACTGGAGCGAGCCCCGAGACAACGAGCCGTAGGATAGGCAGCTGGTAGAGCCACCATCGCCGAGATGGATCCGGTGTCCATGCTAGCTGGACGTCAAATGAAAACCAGATCAGACCGCAGTGAACAAATACAACACACAGTGCTGCGATGCCTCGCAAACCATCTTTAACAGTACGTTAGCCTGGCAATTAAAGATATTGAGCATGATCTTTGTTACCTAGCCAAGCTGTAGAGCGAAGCGGTTTTGTCTTCGTTTCTGTTGATCTTAGGAAGCTTGGGACCAGACAGTAGAGATATCTCAAAAGCCTCCTCCACGTTTCCTGGCGACGTGTATTGATGGGAAGTAGCGACTCGTTTGCCTCCAATATTGAGTCATCCTCTACCTCATCGACCGAGGGCTTGGATTCTGTGCTCCAGTCATCGTCTCTTATCGGCGTGTACGTGTGCCGGCCGTCCGTATCGTCGGGGTTGTAGCGTTGTCGAATAAAGGAGGGCAACATAGTCATGCTAAATCCGGTTCGATTTGAGCGATAGCTGACGTGAGGCCAACGAGGGGAGACGGAGATTTAAGCTTATCACACTCGGCCTGTGTGATCGCCAGCGTCGATCGGCGAGGAAATCAGACGTCCAAGGAGCGCGCAAATATCGTCTGGGAGAGGTCACATTAAGAGTAGGCTTAGAGTAAGAATTAGACGCATGTCACTACTTAAGAGACAGACACTATCGAGCTGTAGGGCCTACAATGGGCTTCCAGAAAAAGAATGAATATCCACCATGTTTCACTCGCCCGGAGAGAAACCTGCAAATTCGAACGAAGCTTTCCTCAATCGGTAGAAGACACATGTCAAAGTGCCCGTACAGTGTTTTCCGAATAGTGTTTTCCGGAAAGTGCCCGCGAATCGGGTGATTTTGTTACTGTGGGAGGCCGCGCCGTAGCTACAAATTCGAACTTTCCAATTCCATAAGCGGTAATTCGAAGGAGTGTTTCACCCGATGAACACGGAGGGCTCGGGGTAGTCCATCGCCAATTCGCGGGAGATAAACCTCAATGCTGCGATGGTGTGACAAAAATGGACAGGTTAGCACGGACGCCAGTGCTGCGGACGAAAAGAAACTGAAACGTATGACGGAGGTCGATGCGAGACCGAGCTTCCATCTCATCAACATCCATTTCCGAAGAGAATATCAGAGGGCATGCGTCGACGACTTCACGGCCCAGGCCATCAGCCGATTGTGAGAAGCGACACGTCAAGGCACTCAAGAAATTCGACCGGGAAATGCGAAGTGGAGCGACATTCAAAAGTTCAAAACCGACATGTCGGCCATTTACACTTCACGCGCGACTAGAAGTGGCCGGCGGATTCATCCAGCTTCATCATCGAAGATGATACTGTTCGACCAAAGGCCCAGGCTAAAGTATCAGGGGTGACGATGGACCTAAAAGGTCATTTTGACAAGCACATTGCAGAGGCCACGGCAAGGGGCCTTGAGACAGTTCTGGGGCTCAGGGGGCTCAAAGGCCGGACTCCGGCGGGGTATTGACACAGCCGGGCACCGTGACACTGCCGGGCCCCGTTTCGCCTGCTGAGTCAGCTGGGATTTTGCTCTTGTAGATGATCCGGTACTCGCCGGTTTATCGATGGGAGAGCGGACGGGATCCCGAGTTCTCCGATGAGTATTACTGCAAGTTCTGGATATCCGGCATAGCAATATTATGAAGTGCACGTCGGCAGTTCGTCTTCTGCCTCATCTTTCTTCCCTTCTAAGTTTTCTTCTTCGCAGTTTACTACCTAGAGGCGTACCTTGTTAACTACTATATAACTCTAACGGGGAAATATATAGAGGGTTATAGTATAACCTTTATAACTAACTTATAAAGTATATAAAGGGGATTTTTAAGTTACTTAGCTAAGTTAGTAGAAATAGTCTACTATTATACTATAGTTTAAATTTAAAACTTTCTAAGATAAATCTTATATATACCTCTTATTTAATTAATATAACTCTTATTATTAGTAATATTAAATATTTAAAAAAGATTAGTTTACTATATATTTAATAATAGTTTAATTATATTTTTTTAACTAAGAATAATAATATAATATTTTTATATTTCTTTATAATATATATTAAGTTCTTAGAAAACCTTTAAAACTAAGCTCTCTATTAAATTAAATAGAGATTTGTTATGGTTAGCTATCTGATAGTAGGGTCTGCTAATAGAAGCTGGGAATTAATATATAGTAATAGTATACTAGGGTTATAGTCTAAGTTATAGGTTATAAGCTATAGTAAATTAATCTTTAGAAGCTAAGGTAATTAGTCTTAAACTTAATAAGTAATTTTATAGTAAAAGTAAGCTAAGAGTATCCTAAAGATAAATACTAAGTTAATTACTAAAGAGCTATAGAAGTCTAATTATAAGCTAAGCTTAAAGTTATATTATATATAAGTTTAGAATAATATTTTTTATTTACTATAAAGTAATTACCTAAGTATACTAAGTAATTATAATTAGTTAGTAAAACTAACTAATTACTAAGCGCTTCTTCTTATATTTTATTAATTATTTCTTTATCTTATTATTATATAATTTATACTATAATTCTTTTATATTAAGTAAATCTTTATTATTCTTATAATCTTATAATATAAATATCCTATTCTAGCTACTTAATACTTAAATAGGTTATTTAACTATTATCTTTATTTATAAGTTATAATATTAAGTCTTTTCTCTAAAAGTTTTATCTTTAAGACTTAATATAAATAAGTTATTAGTCTTAAGTTAAAGATCTATTAATTATACTTTCTAATTTACTTATAATACTAATATTATATTAAGTTATATTTAAAAATTAAAATTAAATATTATTTCTACTCTTTATTATTATAATTATATATTATATATTACTAAGTTTAGTATAGTTATTAATATACTTTATTCTTATTATTATTCTTTAGGGAAGTATTATAAGTTTCTTTCTAGTAGTAAAGTTTATAGTAAGTATATTTACTTAAGGTAGTTTTATAATATAGTAATAGATATTATTTATATTTATAAGTTCCTTAGTATTTTAAGTTTTATTTTTAGGTTTACTAACTTTATTATAGTTAACTACTTACTTAATAAAGCTACTTATTTAGAAGATACTAAAGTAGTTAAAGAAAAAGTACTAAGAAAGAAAACTACTACTTTATATACTATATAAGCTAAGTTAAATAAATCTATAATATAGTTAAACTATTTATATAAATAGAAGAAAATAATATTTTAGAAAAGTTAAGAAGTTATTAAAGAGGAGCTAGTAATATCTCTTATATTAGAGGTTTAGTCTATAAATAGCTTTAGTATAATAAACTTAGATTCTATCCTTAATTAGAATCTAAATACTCTAAACTTTTTATTAAGGGAATCTTAGTTATATTTTAGTATTCTTAAATAAATAAATAGTTTTCTTTATTATAATCTATCTACTTCTATTAGTAGTTTAATATACTTATATAAATATTTAATTTATTAGTAGCTATTAATAACTTTCTAACTAATTAATATAGCTAATATTAATATAACTTCTTATTCTTAATATTATTATTAATAGAATAAGAGTTTATCTATTATATTAATAATATTTTTTATAGGTTCTTATATATTATCTTTATAATTATATCCTTTCTACTTAATAAAGTATTAATATTTTTTAGGTTTTTTAAAATAGTTAATAATATATTTAACTTTATATTTTAGTTTATTATCTTTTATAATAATAATATTATTTATCTATAATCCTTATAAAGCTAATTTAAGTAATAAGATATAAAATACTAAGTAATACTTTATAATATCTAAGAATTTAAGCTTATAATTAATTAATAAAATAACTTATAAGATTTTAAAAAGTTTAAATTTTTTATAGTTAAGTTTATTATTTAGTTATTTTATTTTAATATTTTACTATATAAGATAAGTATTATCTCTCTCTTTTAAAGTTAATCTCTTAATTTTTTATTTATTACTAAATTTAGTTATTTTTTATTATATAAATTTAAGTTCTTATTATATATTTTTTTAGATATTTTTAATTTATTATATTAAAGTAATAGCTTTAACTATAGTTAACTTTACTTAAGATTCTCTATAAGTAATAAGTTTAAATCTATAATTAAAGTAGAAAGAGGATTCCTTAATATTTTCTCTAATTATACTATTATAAATAAACTAAGTAATTAGTAGTAATATAACCTAATTATCCTAATTATAGTTAATATAAATATAGAGGTATATTTTAAGGATTTAGTTAATTTATTCTATTTATTTATTAATTTATAAGTAAAATATAGTAGATATAAATTACTTAATATTAAGTTATACTATAATTAATTTCTAAAACTTAGAAGTAAAGATCTTATCTCTATTTAATATAACTTCTTTAAACGTTTTATAGTTAGTAATAATATATTTAAAATATATATATATATATTTTTTAGCGTTATTTACTTCTTTATATAGAATAAAATAAGTATATTTTATAAATTAATTTATAATAATAAAAATATTATTATAATATATTTTTATAAAAAGTTTTTAAAACTTTAGTAATTTAATAATAAAGTTAAGAAATATAAATTACTAAGTAGTTTATAATATTAATAAAGGTTATAATATACTATAAAATTAATATTAAATAAGTTTACTTTTAAAGTAAACCTTATAATCCTTAATTATTTTTACTATATATTCTTTAATAATCTTTTCTCTATATTATTATTATAGTTATTTCTAGGTTTTTATAATTCCTTAATAACTATATATAAAGTATATATAAAACTTTATAAATACTTTATTATTTAGTTTACTAAGTAAGCTAATACTAAATTATTTAGTTATTATTAAAAGTTTAGCTATTAATATTAAATCTCTATAGTTATTCTTTTTAAGAATTATTTAGGTTTCTTTAAGTATTAAGATATTATAGTTTAATCTTTAGCTAAAAGTATTAGCTCTATTATTATTTAATCCTTTTCTATAGATAATTTAGAAGTTAAATCTTAATAAGAATTCTAATTATTATATTTATTATTTTTTAGTATTTTTAAAGTTATAAAATATATAAAGTTCTTATAATCTAAATATATAAGTATTTTATAAATAGTTCTTAAAAGTTTAGGTCTCTATTTTTTAAAAACTTTAATAATTACTATAAACTCTTTATTATAGATTTTATAATTAAGTTTAAGTCTTTTAAGTTTTTTAGAGAAAAAAATATAAAGATATAAATATCCTTTTAAGTTTTATTATAATAGTTAAGTTTTAATTATATAATTTAATATATTAAGTTTTACTTTAAATAGCTTTATAAGGTTTAAAATAAAGAGGATTAATTTACTAATAATAAGGTTTTTAATTTTCTAAAAAGCTATTTATTATAGTTCTTTTTATTAGAATAGTTTATTTTTATAGCTAAGGTTTATAAGAACTATATTAATTTCCTTATAATTTCTAATAAATTTTTAATAGAAGTTAATAAAACCTAAGAATCTTTAGATTTCTTTAAGGTTTTTTAGTATTAGTTATTCTTAAATAGCTTTAATTTTATTCTTAGATATATTAACCTCTTTTAAAATAATAATAAATCTAAGATATTCTACTTACTATATATAAAACTTATTTTTCTTAAGTTCTATTAAGAGTTTAGCTTCTTAAAAGATTTATAAAATATTATATATATCTTTTTTATATTTTTTAAAAGTAGAAGAGAAAATAAAGATATTATTTAAATAGATAACTATATAAATATTAATATATTATTATAATATAGTATTAATTATATTCTAAAATATTATAAATATATTAATAAAACTAAAAAGTATAATAAAGTATTTAAAATATCCTTTTTATATTCTAAAAGTAGTTTTTTATTCTTTCCCTTTTTTTATTCTAATTAAGTTATAAGTTTCTTTAAGGTTAAAAACTATAAACTAATTAGCTTTATAAAAAAGTTATCTTATTTTATCTATAAAAAGTAGTAGATATTAGTTTTTAATTATTATCTTATTAAGTATATAATAATTAATATATAGTTATAGTTTTTTATTCTTTTTTAATATAAATAGGATTAAATTTCTTATTAGTAATATTAAAGGTTTAATATAACTTTTTTAGAAGTTTTCTTTAAAATACTTATTTAAAGCTTCTATCTCTATTAAATTAAATCTATAGATCTTATTAAATTATAGTTTTTTTCCTTCTTTAAGGGGGATTTTATAGTTAAAGCTAGTATATTTAAGTAGTTTAGTTTCTAATTTAGCTATAAAAAGTTTCTTATAAACTTTATATTTTTCTAAAATAAATAGGAGTAAGTTATTCTTAAGATCCTCTATTATTAATTATTATAATATAGCTTTTTTTATTTTAAAGTAGTAAATATACTATCTTACTATTTTTATAGTATTAGCTTATTTAAGGTTTATTCTTTATAATACTATTTAAAGACTAAACTATTATAGTTCTACTAGAGTTAGCTTTTATTTTAATCTATCTATAAGTTATTTATTTATAACTAAAGTAGTCTTAATATTATATTATATATCTTTATATTAGTAATATTAAATTAGATTCTTTTTTTTAATCTAAATAATTTATCTTAAGGGGTATAATCTTATTATAGATAGTACTTCCTTTATATTTAAATTCTTCTCTTTTTACTATATATAAAGAGTATAGTTATTTTTTTCCTTTTTATTATACTTCTAGCTTATTAATAGTTTAAAAAGTAATAAAATTTATTTTAACTTTATTATTAATTAATATAAGTATTATTTATTTATTAATTATAACTTTAAGTTTTATATTATTTTTATATCTTTATAATATTTAGTAAATAGATCTTTTTCTTATTATTTATTATAATTTATTATTAATAAATAAGTTTAGTTTTTTAATTATTTTAGTTATTTTAAGTAAGTAATTTACTTTCTTTCTTATATTATTTTAATAAAGCTATTCTTATAGATTCTAATTTAAAGAGGTTTTAGTCTATTTTTTATAATTCTCTATATATAAGTTTTATCTTAATAGTAAACTTAGTATTTATTATATTAGTATTTATCTTATTTTATATTATTATTATATTAGTATCTTATAAGGAACTATAGGTTTAGCTAAAAAGTAGTAATCCTTTTATTAAAAGTTATTATAGTCTATTTAATTATAATATATATAGTATAAATACTTTTAATAAGTTTATTATTAAATTTTTTAAAGTAGAATTAATAGTTATACTTATCTCTTATATATTTTTTATATTTATTATAGAAATATTAAAGCTAGAAGAAGATTTAATATTATTAATAATTACTTTATAGAGTAGGATAATCTTCTATATATAGCTAAGGAGGTATAGTTTTAATTTTATTAGTTTACTATAATATTATAAAAATAGCGCTATTATTTATTTTAAAATATATTAATTTCTTAATACTTTAAGAGTTACTTAATTTTATTTTCTTAGTTATTAGATTCCTTTTTAGAGCTAAAATTATTTATATTAAGAGTAAAACTATAAATAATCTCTACTTAAGTATATTATTAAGTAATATTATAAAGTTTATTTAAATTATAAAATAAATCTTTACTTTCTTTAAAAGTTTAATTATTAGTTATATTAAGGAGTTATTATTCTATTAGTAGATTATATTAATATTTAGGTTCTTCTTTAGATTCCTCTTTAACTTATTCTTCTATTTCTTAGTTAATTTATTTAATTCTAATAAGGTTTCTATATATATATTTATATTATTCTATATATAAGAGTATAACTTTAAGTTATTTTTCTTATATAAAATTATAAAGTTCTTTTTAGATATATTTTAGATATATAAGTTTTATTAGCTAGAAGTATATTAACTTTTACTTATTATTATCTTTTAGTTCTTAGTTTTAGGTTTATATTTCTAAGGTATTAGTAAGTTTAAACTATTATATTTATAGTATTTTATTAAGTTATTTTATTAGTTTTTTAATAATTTTATTATTACTATAATATATTATAACTAGAATCTTTAAGTAAATATCTAAAGTAGTTATATTATATCTAGATTATCTAGGGTTACTATCTTTTAAATAGTATTTTAATATTTCTTTATTTTTAAAATAAACTTAATACTTATTATTATAATATTTAGTCTAAGATTAAGATATATATAAAGCTTTTATAATTATATTAACTTATTAAAATTATTTAGCTATTAATTTCTAAAGTAGCTTCTTAAGCTATTTATAGTTTCTAGTAATATATCTTTATCTATTATAGTTATAATACTTAAAGTTTTAAGGTTTTTTATTATTAAGTTTAATTATTATATTAAGATTTATAAGTTTACTATATTATCTATAAGTAATATTTTATTAAGTATTATTTTAGTTATTATATAATTTATTATTATTCTATTAGTTATTAAACTTATATTAAGGTTATTATTAATACTTATATTTAAAGTTAGCTCTTTATTATTTTTTACTTTTTTCTTTTTTTTATTTAAAGAGTTAATTATTAATCTTAATAGCTATACTAATATATTAGAGGAAATCTTTAAGTTTATCTAATTTAATAATTTTATCTTTAATATTATCTTTAAATCCTTAATAAAATATAAAGATTTTAGTTTTTTTAGTAAAGTCTAATTAAATATTAAGTTATTTAAAAGTAGTAATATATTCTTTAGCTAACTTAGTTTATTATAATTATATAAAGTTATATTTAGTTTAATACTTCTTATTTAAATCTTAGAAAAAGGATTATAAAGTATTCTTAAATCCTTAAAAATTACTATAAATATTATATATTTCTATAAAGTATTTATTTAAAGTTTTATACTTAAAGAATTCTTCTTAAATAAGTTTAAACTACTTAAAAGCTTATCTATAAAAGTAAGTAGCTATATAAATAACTTTCTCTATTTAATTAGTAAAATTATTATAATAAAAGTTATAATAAGTTTTAATCTAAATTAAGTATAATTTAAGTTATTTAAAAATACTATTATAAGTAATAGAAGTATTAAGCTTAAATTTCTAATATTTTCTAATAGAAGTAGTAATAATATTAGTAGTAGTTTAGAAAGTATTAAGTTCTCTTTAAAGTTCCTAAATCTTCTTAAAATTAGTATCTCTATAGATATTTCTTTCTAGTTTTTTATAGACTTCTCTAGTATTCTAAAGTTATTTATTTAAGCTATTTATAGCTTATTTACTCTTATTAATAAAAGTTTATATTTCTTTAGTTTTAATTTCTTATTTTTAAATAATATATTAGAGCTTTTTATATCTTTCTTTAATAAAGAAGCTTTCTCTATTAAAGTTATACTTAAAGTTTAATATATTATAATTTTTAATATTAGTAAGTTTTTATATTAAGTTCTAAAGCTAGTTATATAAAGAAAATAAAGATCTTAGAATAGAAGATTTAATAAAAATATAAGAGGATATCTTATCTATACTATTTAGTAAGTATTAATAATTAACTTACTAAATAAAACTAATTAAAGTGTTATAGTTAGCTATTTAATAATAAGGTTTATTAATAGAAGTTAGGGATTAATATATAGTAATAATATACTAAAGTTATAATTTAAGTTATAAGTTATAAGTTATAGTAAATTAATCTTTAGAGGTTAAAATAATTAATTTTAGATTTAATAAGTAATTTTATAGTAAAAATAAGCTAAGAGTATTTTAAGAATAAATATTAAGTTAATTACTAAAAAGCTATAAAAGTTTAATTATAAACTAAGTTTAAAGTTATACTATATATAAATTTAGAATAATATCTTTTATTTATTATAAAGTAATTATTTAAGTATACTAAGTAATTATAATTAGTTAGTAAAGCTAACTAATTACTAAATACTTTTTCTTATACTTTACTAATTATTTCTTTATCTTATTATTATATAACTTATACTATAGTTCTTCTATACTAAATAGGTTCCTATTATTCTTATAATCTTATAATATATATATCCTATCCTAGCTGCTTAACGCCTAAGTAGGTTGTTTAGCTATTATCTTTATTTATAGGTTGTAATAAGATTTAAAAAGATCACTAAAAACTTAAAAAATAAGAATAATATAAAAGAGATTAATAAAATATTTAATAAGAAATATAGTAAATAGTTCTAAGAACTAATTACTATTATTACCCTTATTTAAGGATATAGTAGTTAAGAAAACTAGCTTAGGTTAGGGTAGAGGAAAAAAAGGTCCTTATATTCCCTATAGTTATATAAAAATTCATAAAAGAATTCTTTATAAAATGGTCTTCTGCCTCATTCTACGAATTCGCTAGTGTAAGACCCTGCCCCCTGGACACACAGTATATCGGGTGGGCCACCATTCGAACAAGTGGCCGACGTCATGCCTCCAAAGTCATGACATGTTCCAAGTATATCTGACTACCTTACTTATGAAATTTCATCGACTCTTAATACATCATCACTATATGGGTATTGCTCTTACCACTGAGAGCAAGAATGGGTGTAATAGAGAGGGTAAGATAGTGTCATCAATAGTGCCTCGGTTGATAGGTCTGTCACAGGCTTTTCAAGAAGTGTGGCATTCAAGTTTTTCATGAAAGATCAGAATCCCTCGGTAGAAGTTGCAGTGATTCAGAATGCAGTTGTGGCAGTAGTGGAGGGTTTGAGCTCAGCCTCTTACCGCTGCGATCTGACACGCGTACCGAAATGACCACTATGAGTCACATTCTGACAAGACATTCCTTGTTGAGAATCATGAATATGTCTGAGACAATTAGCACTCGATACTTAGGAGATGATCACAGTCCACGATGTTGAACAACTCGCGTGTCCTAGGTATGGTGGCAGGGTCCATCATGGGTTGGAGTTCCACACCTTCTCTTTGGTGCTCTTTCTTAATTTCCCCATGCCATTCAACTTTCTTTCCGTTTCAACACACCGCTGCCTCTGAAGCACATCAATATTTTAAGTCATACGACATCCTAAGGCAAACACCCCAACAATATTCTCATGAGAATGAGACACAAATAAAGACGTTGTAGAGGGTTCAGACTGAACTTAGTGCAATTGAACCAGAACCCACCCGCGCATAAACCCAAATAATTGTTCCAACTTGTCACATGCCCCACGCTAGACTATTTATGCGCTCTGCTTCTTGCTCAACTCGGACCCAGCCAACTACTTTTACACAACCATCCTCGTTCAACCTCCGGAAGCCCCGCCTCCATCACCTATTCCATTTCCATCGTTCTGTTGGTCTTGCTGGTCCTGCTGTAACTGCTGTAACTGCTGATCATATTGCATAGCAGCTTGCGCCTGTCGGCTTACGAAGTCTTGGTTGTCTTGCCATATCCGCCGTACATACCCTTTCAGTCGCTCAATATGCTCATCAACAATGCGTAACGTTAGTGGATCCGGAATTTGGCCGCTCTCTTTCAGTCTGGTTAACCTTTCCGCACATAGAGTTGCAACCCCTCCCGAAGGGCCTATCGTCTCGGGTCCCACGTATTCATAATCCTTTGAAGACATATATTGGAACCATCTCCAGTCTTGTGATCGTTTTGTCACAACACCAGCAGCCAACCGGCGGCAAAAGTGTTGGCAGTTATTTTTCAGGTGATTGTAAGTGCCGAAAGTCTTCTCAACATTCAGACATACTTCGTCAACTTGTGCCTTTGACTTCTTCGTCCAACCAATGTGAACTATGTACAGCAGTCCGACTTCGGGTTTGGGATGTTGGAACTCGGGTTTGCGATTAGCTTCAATAGCTTCTGCGCGTGCTTTCATTGCCATAGAATAAAGTTGATCTTTGCTTATGACCTTCTTGTAATAGCGCCCGAAGCCTGAAGAGTTTCGAAAGTCGTCGATTGGCTCTTGATCAACCTCTACTTGCACTCCGTTCCCAAGACCGGTCTCGAGATCAGGGTCTTCTGCAGTCGAAGAGGACGGCATACTTCGCATTCTTCGAAGCTCATACTTATGCTGGTGCATTAGCAGAGCCCAATGTTTCCAGGAACCCCTCTTCGCATAAAATGATAGCCATACAGGCTCGCCATATGAAGTGTTGTTCTCAAGCTCCAATCGTTCTCCTGCTTGTTTTTGAAGATGCGCGTCCCAACCAACCCTAAACGTAGATTCAACATCTGCTGCTGTTGCGTTTGGTGGTAGGTCCAACTTGGTGAGATCGATTTGATTAGCCACAACACGAGCGTGGGAGGTTGTTGACGTCTTCCTGCAGGTACAAAAAAGGCTCAATGCGACGGTGATGCACCCGATTACGCCAGCGATTGTGCCAAGGGTAGTGGCCGTACCACTCGCCATATTGAAATGCCAGCGAATTGAGGTACAGGAAGCTTCAAAAACGCATACCAGCGAATGTGCATTTATGATGGCGCTTTTCCTGATAAACACAATTAGAAGCGCTCGTGATCGTGAGGGATTAGGCCCATAAATACTTTATTGAAGTGGCTTTGAAACCTCAAGTGGAAAAGTACTGAAATCCTGAGAATGTGGCGCAATCCATCGTCGCAGTTAAAGAAGGCGTTCATGACGGTCCATCGGACTCGCTGACCACCCTTCTTTACAGATGGAACAGGGTTGGATTAGGCATCCGCAGCTGCAAGCCTATCAAAGTGAGAACCTCCAAATGTCATGTTTTCAATAGAAACCAATCGATCCTCTCTTCAGAGAGATTCTGGTGGGCTTTTCGGTGTAACAAAAGTTAGGTTGTTGCTACCTGCAATCCTGATGGTGCTGGGTGACCAGTTACAGCACTTCATGTGTGCAAGGATTGCAAGAAATACTTGTTCCCATTTCAGCTTCCATGCAGAACAATCCCTCAGACAGCCTTGCCATGACCCAGGCAGCATGATGCAATTGAACACATCCCAATACAGCCATAATGGCTGCTTAGATACATGCTTCTCTCCATAACTGAACATCTCAGCAGTGTCACCCGTCTTGACTTGCGAGTTGCCCCCCGGCAGTTGCCATAGCTGACGAAGCCATGGCATGATCTCAAAACTGAGGTGCCCATCCCATGCTGTAGTCAGACAATGTGACATACGCGTGCCATTTGCGATCTACGGGTGCCAGTTGTGACATGCTGCCACTGAGGCTAATCTTGCGATCTAGGGCCTTCCACGTATCTGGGGCCCCCAATGTCGAGAGGAGGCGGTGCAGAGGGCTCGTTGGGCCTCCTCCCTTCGATACGCAAACAGCCTACCAGAACATGGAATAAATACAGTTTTTGAAAGGTGTCATTTTCTCATCGGACGATGTCATTGCAGGGTTTATTTCCTGTTTCCTTCTCCCGCAACCCCCCTCAGAAGCCCAGTCGATGGAACTGCCATAGGAAGTGCGGTCCCAGCGGTCCCATAAGGCGTTCTTCGGGCACGGAGCCAGTTTTGGACAACTACCACCAGAAGTACCAACATGAACATGATGATAATAACAAGAGGGCCCAATATCGAAAATATCGTGAACCCATACGACGCACGCTGAAACGTGTCGTTATCCTTAAGTGCGTCGGTAGATAGCCCAACCTGCATAGCAGTGAGGACAACAACTAGGTAGACAGTAGCAGTAGTGATCCAGGCCATGTTGTCAAGAGCGAATTCGGTATATGTATGCCATGGATTGTGATACATCTGGCAACTAGAAAGGTCGCTGAAGATGTTTATCCAATTCAGCCTGTTCAGTCTCAGTTCGCCATGCCGAAATCGACGGTGTATCTGGTCGGAAACCTTGGGCTCCAACAGCTCCGTGGCTAATTTTCGCCACGTGGTCCATAATGGCTGATCCCCATCTCTTGGTAAAAGGCCTTCTCTAACCGCCAGTTCGAAATCAGACGGACTATTTACGAGGCATGCGTAGGTATACAGAAGCCCCAAAGCACACTCTCGTACGCCAGACTGAGGCGAAGCAGGTGATTGATAATGGTGACCAGGTAGGTGCTGTGCCCAGAACTCAGGCTCGAGAAGATAGCGGGGCAACGGTTTCAGGAATATCTTCATGTCCCCCCAAACAAGATGCATATCAAGGGAATCGTTGAGTACAATCGTGCGACCCAGCACAACTTGGGCGTTCAGTGATCTGGCTGGTCGGATAGCGCCGACACGCCAGAGTTTACCATATATAGCGTCAAGACGGTCCAGCGAGAACTCTGTCTTCAGGCATTCTGACAAGGTAGCCCGGTTCACTGTCCTGATTTCGTTTCCTGGTGGTCCAGTGCGAAAAGCAACCGGGAGGTGGTCCCAGAATGTAGGCTGGTCAGCTTCTGCGGCGCCGCTGGACGTGGTCGACGTCGATGACAATGGGTACAGCTCTGTCCCCCCGCCATTTGAGGTGAACAGGCGTGTGGTGAAGGGGACAGCCGACATTTAATGCGGTAATGAGCGTGCGTTAATCTATCTTGTGATAGTAATTGGGCGAGAAAGGGGCGACAGTGTACCTTCACGTTCAACGTCGGTTGAGGTGTGTATTGTGTTACAAGTCGAAGCGAATGGCACTCGTGCATCTTAAATGTACCTTGGAAAGGCATGCGTCCGGTTCAAATGATCATCGAAGGATGCTTGCCGCTCACCTACATATAAGTATGTCATGAGGTGAGAGCTGACTGCGGCGCAGCCATCACACCCAGATGACGTAGCCCTGAAGGCAGCAAGGCTCGATCTCATCAGAAGTACGACCGCACTTGTATATAATTGTCTTCATAGTATAGATTGAATGGACGAGATCATGATCACTGTAAGTTCTATAGCGGTAAGATTCAACCCAGATGGTGTCGTGTACGAGGTGAGCGCTGAATGTGCCCTCCAACGGCTAACTGAATAGATCAATCACTCCAACTTGACTACTTTCGTGATGACGATGTAATGATGATGGCAACTTCCGACCTGCGGGTTAGTCCAGCTGTCTGTCCATGCTTGAGAGGCATGATCGGGACATTCAGCTCCAGCAGGCTAGCGACCGGGTTTTTGAAGAGGCTTCAAGGGGGTTGTCCCATCGACGAAAGAGACAGGGAAGTACTCAAGACTACATTGCCCTGTAATTCACTTGATATATCTAGTCAAATCCCGACTGATAGAGAAGTATTGCCGAGAATTTTATCGTCCATCAATCATTTCCGCATAAAATTGCAGAAAGTCTCTGTGCTGATAACGAACTTCTCTTCTTGAGTTAATGGGACTAAGTAGAAACAGAGACTACTTGTAGAAGCCGTCCAGTCGAACCAGCATCAGCGGCAATCGTGCTTTCGGTGAAGTATTCTTGATCATGTAACCCAGCTTCTCCTGTTCACCTAGAATTGCTTAACTTAACGTAGAGTGCCTTGTCAATTCAACAGTTTCAGCGTCATGTCTGATTAAGTACCAGCCTTATTACTACAAAATATTTCCAGCAGTCTTTTGCTGCATTTCACAGACATTTGATTCCGAGCAACACCAAGTACAGATGTATAGTACAGAGCACGGGGTGACGATATGATCTAGACAACAACATAGTTCTTGCTAATTCATTATGATACCGACTGGATGTAGCATCTATTCCTCCAGTCTGACACGTATGATCAATAGAATCTATTCTGAGTAGAACAAAGCTACGTCTCTGAGAATGTACAAACGTATGGAGTCGGTAACGTAAACTTGTTAAGTTGTTACGAATGGCCGGATGAAGATTCACCGTTTCTCCGCAAATAAAACCGAAAAGAAAGAAACCAAGAAGGTAAAATATTCAAAATAAAAGTCATCATCTAAGGTCGTGCTCTGCATTGACAGGAACATCCCCCAACCACCCCGAATCCTGGGGCGTCCGGAGGTCCGACCATTCCTGCAGCTCGCCCTACCTCAATCTGTGTTCACTTTCACCACGTAAATCTCTTCTAATTTACACTGGGAATCCAGCTGCTATCATCATTCGAACGAAAAGTCCTCAAGCCTGTAAAAAAAATCCTCGATCATGCGTGTATCCATCGTAAGCTTTCTTGGCCTTCTAGGCGTCTCGTCCCATGTAGCCGCCGCGTACACACCCCTCAACATCACAGCCCTCAGCACGCGCAACGGCTACTCCGTCATCGAATGCTGGCAAATCGAGTCCATCCCAGTCGAGGCGCGCGCAGCCCTGAACTACGCATTCGGCGGCGACCTGACGCGCGCAGAGTGGTCCATCATCCAGCCCAGGACAACGGTCGGCGAAGCTTGGGCGCCGGCTGTGCAGTGAGTACTTTTTCTTCCCAATTTCATGCTATCTGGAGGGGACTCCCCGGTCGCTGGACAATTCGTCTGGTGCGATTGAAACTTGACGGACATGGGGGATCGCTTCATTTGGGATCCTCATTTTCATGCCAAAATTTTCGCTGTTGACGTCACTGGATGGGTGGAATGGGAGGCAGACGACTGATTGCGCGTAGGTTAACCGTCATCGTCAACGGCCTCATCCGCATCACCTCGCCTGCGCCAAAGAACGCCTCTCAAGCGATGCCGCTCCCAGAGTCTGAGGACGCCGCGCAGCCGCCGGAGACGACGGTCGCGTACATCCAGCCCGGGACGGTGTCCTCGTCGCTGGTGATCGCGGCGGACATGAAGAACATGAGCGTGCACGCGGGGCACTTCACCGAGTTCCCGGGCGACGAGCCGACGGTGCTGGTGCAGATACCCTGGGCCGGCAACACGGCGCCGGAGCACACCGTGCTGGGGGAGGGGCCGTGTCACAGGGGGTCGTGGACCTTTTGAACGATGTCATCACGGAGCATTACGGGCAGATGAGGGGAAGGGATCTCGTGACAATGGCTAATGGCTCAGCTTTAGCCACGATGGATGGGTGATTCCCGATACCTCGGGCCAAGAGGTGTTAGATCATGGATATTGTAGCCTTTTGGTATTGCGACTAAAGACCACCAGAGGATCGCGTTAGCCGACGGTCACGAAAGCCGTAGCTGGGAGAGCCCCTGGAACGAGGAGGGCGAAAGGCGGGCGGCAGCAGGAGCACAAAACGTAATCGCGCAAAGGCTAATCTTTTCTGCGCCAAAGCAGCGGGAGGCGGCTCGGATGAGGCGAGAAGGTTGCGGGTTGGGGTTCGTTCGCATGGAAATAAGAGCTTGGCGTCAATGGACGGACGGCAGCGAAGGAAGAAGGGCGAGGAGAAGCCAAATCGTCTGTTGTTTTCTGTTGGTCTCTTTTCGTCTGGATGACGGCGCATGGTTACGGGCTGTGCCATGCGTCGATCGGTGCTCTGTTGTTACGCAATAGCCAGTTAGTTGGTCCTAATGATGGTTGTTGGTTCTTGAAGCTACCATTCTTGCCGGGACTTCCGCTGTGACTACGCATCTTGAACACCTCCGGTACACGTATTACGAGGCTGATGAGACATGGAAATGGGGCCATCTTGGGGAGAACTTGTCCCTTCGTCGGTGATGCTCGGCCGCGGTGACGTTTAGCGGACGAGCGCTGGCAAGGGAGGCAGCTTGATGCTACGCGACAACGGCAGATGATTCACAACAGCTTCGTTTCTTTCCTTCTGCCGTGTCATCAAGTCACAACCGGCTGTAAGACGCCGCGTTCGCCGAGGTTCTGGTCGCGGGCTCGTGTGAATTCATGTTCACTGCTGCTGCCGTGTGACGGAACCGACGGCTAGGCCCCCAGACGCGCTCGAGACACGACGTTCACGTTCGTTCGTTTCTTTTCGAAGATCACTGCGCAGGAGCCCTTCTGCTATGTACATACATTACGCCGAAGCGCAGCAGCACGGAAAGATTCAAATGCAAGGTCCAGAACCTCGGGATGTGACACACCACCAGCACCACCCCCTCTGAGGTCCCGTGTTCATGTTGATGCAGCGTCACGACCGGTCGGTGGTCAGCAAAAGAAAAAAAATTAGGGAGGGCGATCTCGGCAGTAGCCCTAAGGGAATCTCTCTGTCCCACGATTTGGATTCCCGCCCCCGGCAGCCTGTGCGCTGGTTTGTGGTTTGCTTGTTGCCCTTGTGCCCTGCCCGCCCGCCCACGGGTCCCTCTGCGGGTGCTACTCCGCACGCGCCGGGGGATAGGGTTCTGACAGCGATCATCCCAGAAGAGGTGTGCGGCATGCCCAAAGAGGCATGCGGACCCGGGGGTTTGCTCCAAGAGTCCCAGAGGATTGACGTGTGTGGGAGGGAAGATCTCTCGGCAGCGGATAAGATGGCGGGGGGAGGGGGGCCAGAGGGCAGTCAAACGGTTCAAGGCCTGGACTTCGAGGGCGAGGTGAACAAAGGCCTGTCGCTGTCAGGTGCTTTGTGTGAGGAATGTGGAAGAAGCAAAGACGACCTGAATAGCAACTCTGATTGGACTTGAGGGTGTTGCGCAGCCTTGGCAGCTAACAGCCAGGCAGTTCGCAGCCGTTTGGTAACGGCGCAGCCAGTCGGGAGCATGTTCAGATGTCTCAAGGCGGCAGGGCCAGGCGTGGCCGGCGATATTTGGAGTGTGTGTGTCAATCACCAGTCAACGTGACCTCGTGGGCTCGTGGATCACTGCCGGTTTGGGGGAGGGCTGCACTGCTTGAAGGACGCGCCGATGGAGGGTGGGTGGTGGGAGCTTTCCGTCGGTGGCTGAGCATCGTGAGGGTTGTCTTGCGTTCGCGAACCTCACGCGATGGAGGGTCGGACGAGGGGCCATGCTAAGCTTCGCCAGCCTGCTAAGTTTGGCGTCTGTCGGAAGGACGGCCTGATGGCGCTGACGGTTCGCATTTTGCCTGGAATTAGACTACGTGGGAAGAGAGGAGCAGGCTTATGGGGAAAAACACGAGTAAGAGGATAAGGTTGGCGTGAAGGATAAAGCTTCAAGGATTGGAGGCGAAGCGCTGAAGCTGTGCTTTGGGTCCACGAGGGTGTTTTGCTCAGTGTGCTCTCCTCCCCTCGTCAGTCTGCAGCCAGCAGGTGTTGGGCCTGCGTGCGTGGGCGCTTTCAGATGATTGATCTCCGAAAGACAGCGCCGAGTGATTGGAGTGTTGCTTTCCCGGGAGACACTATGTACATCGGGCGCTCACCCGTTCGCCCGTCAGATGTCATCAACCCATCGGCGCAGACTGCGAATCGCAGGACGGATATGTACGATGACCATGGGCCAGGAGGGTCGGCCTCGGCCGGGTCGCTGGCTGAGTTGACGCGGTAGGCGATGATTGGAGTTAGGGGTGGGAGTGAATCAGGGGACGAGTCCGATCGGTGGTCAATTGACTCTGCATGTGGAGGAGGGAAACGTGGGTGTAGCAGGAGAAGCCACGGAGCTAACTCGTGGTGTGTTTGAGCGTGTGCGTGTGTCTATGTGAGTGTGACAGGCGCGTTGAAGGAGTTGACATGTGAAAAGGAGAAGAAACAGTGACTATGAGCGAGTAAAGAGAGAGAGAGAGAGAGGGAGAGAGAGAGTCGAAGCGTTGCGTGCTACCGCTGCCGCTGGATCCTGCAACGAACGCACGGAAATAGCACCAAGTGTCACTCACGACTGTCACCAGCATCCAATGAGGCGCACGGCTTGGGCGACTTGACGTGGTGCCCGTCCAACCGGTCCAAGTCTCCCGTTCGGCCGTCCATGTTCCAGACAAGACCATTGACATAACGCCCAAGACACTTGTGGCTCGCTGCCTGCGCTGCGGTCTCTCAGATGACTGAACTACACGAACTACATGGCACGTCCAGTCGCCGTGACTGCTCGGTGTTCAGTAGTAGGCAGCTGGGGACTTGGGTGGCCATTTGGCTTGTGATACGTGACTTTTCGCAATGCTACTGCATCGGCTTGTTTTGAAGCTTTAAGGCTGCAGAGCTGCTGCCTCTTGTATTGCCGTCGGTGGAGGGGTCACATAATAACACCCTCTCTTATGATTTGAAGGATCATCATCAACAGCCAACTCAACTCGCGGAACTGGGCTCGCCGATTCTCTCACTAGCACGGCAAAAGATCGAATTCCCGAATGCCCACAGCAAATCAGGGCATTTAGCGATTTCCCCTCGTCTCTCTTGCCAGACCAAACCGCTGTGCAGGGACATCCGTCCACAGGAGAGGGGAACCCGATGATTGACTCGAGTTGCACACACCACCACTCTTTGCGCGCCCTCGTCCAGCCCTCTCTAGCGACATCGGCGGTTACGCGGGGACACATCCAGTGAGGGGCCGCCGGACCAGCGAACAGGGGGAGGCCCTGCAGCGCGTCTCGCCTTGACTTTGTGTGGTTCCTCTTGGCTTTCTGATGCTCGCTGCCAATCATCCACTCGAGACGAGACACACACGAAGAAGACGGGGTAATAATAAAAGTAACATTCGAAGAGTCGCAGTCTGAAAAGTTATTCCCCAGGAAGCTGAAGATTGAGACAAGGCGCCGGTGGGACGAAACGACGACAGGGAACACCACCGAGACAAGCGACCGTTAAAACAAAACAACAACAAACACTTGCCAGCTGAGCTTTCAGTCACAGCTAGATAGACAAGCCGAGAGAGCGCCGGGCAAGACAAGAGAAGACGGTGACGACGTTGCGAAAGATACTGTATCCAGGCCGCCGCCATCCCGTTCCCGTCCGCCCGTCCTCCTCCGCAAGCCAGAGAGCTAAGAGGCACCTTTACCGTCACCGCGGAGCTTCCAGACGGACTCGTCCTCAATAGTGACGACTTAGCTCTCATCCCACATCAACGAAGCGTCGAACAGCGCATCACATTCTCAAGAAAAAGGTGGAGCAGGATATCAACAAGGCCATCCTCGTCTCCAAGCTTTACCGTCTCGCCTCTTTCGCCTCTATCTCATCATTCAATTCAACGGCACGGCGGAATTCGACCTTTCGTCTCATCTCGCCTGCTGTTCGTCACTCACTTTCGCGTTCCCCTCACCACAATCTTTCGTAATCTCTCTCCGAACTTTGCCCATCTCGCCAATTCCCTGATTCGGCGTCACCGCTGTTCTCCAGTCTTACTCTCAAGGACCTCCTCCCCTTGAGAACAGACCCAACAAAATCTCGGCTGTCGAGCCTATCCTGCAACAACCGCAACTTACGCAATACTCGCAGCAGCCAGGCCAGGCCAGGCACCGCTCCAGTTCTCCCAGGATTCGCCCGAGTGCATGCACACTATTCCTACATTACACTACGTGCTGCTGCGCTCACTCACCTCACCACGCAACAAACACACACAGCGTGCATGCAACTCGCATGCCACCAACCCTGTTGGAGACGCAGGCTAGCCCGGATACAGGCCGAGTACGTACAGGTTACAGGCTACACCACGCCTCTCTCAGTTAGCTGCATGGAAGGGCCGCATTGCAGCTTCGCAACACAAACTTGAGACGACAAGACGGCAAAAAACAGAGGGAATAGGTAAAACCAAAGAAGAGCCGACGAATCTCCAGCGCCCCTTCGCCAACTGCGGCGAAAGAGCGGCGAAAGAAGGCGGCGAACCCAACGCCAAAAACGCCCGCGTTCCTAAGTGGATAACAGCCACCCGCCGTGTTTCTTGTGTTTCTTACCTCTCTCCACCGCGGCGCATCAAACAGCGACACAACGCGGTCTAGACTCCGAAGGAGGGGTTGAACACCGCAAGACTCTGTCTGTCACTGTCGGCTCTCAAGCAACAGTCACGTCAGTTCCTGTTCAAGTGTGCGCTGGAGCGGAGCACTGCCCGCCTAGCGTGTAGCAACACGACAATCGTCCATCATCGTCCCAACTTTCGAAACTCTGCGACACGAAAGGCCCTTTTCCCATCATCGCCTTTTTGGCTTTCTTG